GTGGACAGTGATGTGTTCACCTGCTGTTGTGTGTCAGGCTGCAACGAAAAGCAAAACATGTTCATACATGAGAGGCTAGAAGCAGAAAATGTCTGATATTATGTCTGATATTTAAGTGACTGAAGCTATTATTTGATCATCAAAATAGTTTGATCTTCATTGACATTTCATTGAATAATGGCGATGGGGTGCAACAGAGCTGGGTTGCCTCTATTTTGCAATTTAAGAAATTTAGTCCATCAAGTGATGATTAAATAACTACTGTAATAACCAGAACAATAATAACATAGAATTGTTTACAACTACAAATATACTTTAAAGTGTACGGCAGTTCGTTATGCAGAGCAATCGCACAAAAAGAGTGAAGTATAATGTAATGAATGAAAATAAATGTGCACGAGGTAAAGTGTGAGAGACTACTGCACGATAACAAACTGTAATCAAGGTCAAATCTATCTATTCCGTGGCCCCGGCTGCTTCTGCTGACTGTATGGTTTGATTTTGAAATGTCGTTCTCTGCTGACAGCTGTAATGTGTAACATCACCACAGTGCACGCCTGCTTAATTACCACTACTACAAAACTACATGAACAGAAATATAGTAATTATATCAATCGACATTCAGACTTTCAGGTACCATGGGTCATGAAGTAATTGATATAATCAAACAAACAACATAAATGGATCAAATATGGTCAGGTACAGGGTACAAGTCAGAGTAATAAGGAAAGTAACAGATTATGCCCCCTGTTGGTTGCATTAAAACACAATCATCCACCAGTTTCCAACTGTAAATGAGATGTGTGATTAACAGTAAATTATAGAATAAATCTGATTAAATTACTGATATATATAGGAAACAAATAAACCCAATAAAGCAGCTCTTGTACAACAGGTTACTCAAGTTACTTAGATTCTGCTCAATCAGTTCTGCATTTGTTAGTGATTAAAACAATATTTTCATGTGTCAGTGGCAAACTGTTTTAAAGACCCAGCTTAGCAAGTGAGGTGTTTTGTTTGGATAAAGACTGAACAAGCGCTTATCTCTCCGACCTTTACTACACCACTAACACTGTGTAGCTCATTTATTTGCCTGACTCTAATTTATTCACAAACTTCATGCACCTCATTATTTACCAAGTTGTTTGTGCTGACCAGACACTTGAATGGATAATTAATGGATAATAAGAGAACATTCAGTAATTAACCAATGAATCTTAAAACTGCTGAAATAAGCATTTGTATTGGTTATTGCGATAAAATCTGTGGCTGCTTTCATGAATGTGTGTGCATCTGTAGTTTTACATAGTTTCTTTCTGCATCAGGAAACATGATCAAGCCTTATTTTAATAAGAGCAGATGATATACAAAATTACCAAGTCTGGATTTATAGTTTTTAAGTTTTAAACATGCTACCATCTCTGCATCAGCAGTGTTTACCTTTCCGACTTGTCAGGAGTCCACCCATGCACAGTGAGAGCACGGGCAGGGTGCATGCAGGTCGGTTCAGTGTTGTGGTTATTACAGTCCTGCGATACAGACCTGGGGCACTTTTATTTCAGACCACTTTATTTACTTATGGCTATTGGGAGATGAAGAGGATTTCAAGAAATGAAGAAAGAAAGTTATTTAGAAACAACTTACCGACCTTTAACTCCGATCTCTATGCAAAGCTAATCTAGCAGTAGCTTCATATTTAAATTCCCTCTCCTCTAACCTGTCCAAATTCCTCTTTCCTGGCCCTACCCCTAGATTTGAAGTGCTCTTCGCTGGGAGTGTCCTTCAAACAGAGAGAAAGGGCTAGGAATTGGGACATCACTTGCTACGTCATCAGTAGCCAACCAATTTAAACCTTTACTGTAGTATCAAGGTGGAAATACTGAGCCATTCCTTTGACTGCTTTGCTAACATGCTTTTTTGTTACTATATAAATGCAACAGGTCAGATGTTAACATGTTTAAAAATGTGATTTTCCATGAGGGGGTACTGAAAGAGACATTCTCTGTAATGAACTGAATAGACATGATTCCAAATATACTGATCTACTCCAAAGGGTCCTCCATGAGTGAATGTTTTGGGTGAATAGAGTGGGCGTTATAAGAACTTTGATTCTAACAGAGCTCTTGCCGTCAGCTGCTCCTCTACAGTCATGTCTTTGAAGTTGATTAAAGTTTTGACGTAGAATGAATGTTTAGTCCGTGTCCTGCTTCAAGACTCTAACAGATACATGCAGGTCTGCGTCTGTATGTCTCTGCGTAAGAGAATAAATTAGCTCCTGGAGCCAAACCACAGACCTTTATCACGGATCTTCTCACTGTTCACTTGTAACTGCTGAGGGATTCACTTCAGTTTTTAATGACCTCAAATAAGAGGTGAAGATACTTATAAGTTTATGACAAGTACTTCATTAATTTATTCTGAAGAGCAGCTCGGCTTATTTGACATAAAAACTAGAAATTTCATTGCTCTTATATGCCTTTGCCAAACACAAGACATTCAATAAAGGCAGACTTAAGATATGATGTTCAAGAGGCCAAAAACTTTTGATATCACAAATCTGATCAGTTCATTTGTGAGTCAACATGAACTTCTGTGCCAAATTTGAAATGATTCACAACTAATTCACATGAAAAAAATTACTTTGTAAGTTACCTTGAGCTTTGAACACTGAATTATTATCAGGTGATGCTCTAGTCCAAGTGAATGTTTGTGCCAGATGTAATGAAATTCCTCATGGGTGTTCCTGATGTATCAGTTTTACAAAAACACTAGGCCACGTGTCCTTTGACCTTTAACTTACAAAAATCGAATCAGTTCATCCGTGTGCCAAAGTGAAGACTTGCACCAAATTTGAGGAAATTCCCTCCAGGTACTTTATGAGCATCATGTTCACAATCACAACAATGTTCATAGGGTCATAGTTACCATGTCCTTTGGCCATGAAATTGAACCAGTTCATCGTTAAATCTGTGGGACGTAGATAGACGGACAGTACATACAAAAATCAAACAAACATGGTTGTTTAAGGAAACAGTTAACCATGATCTTTACTGAATATGTAACAGCATGTATTAAACACACAATAAACTAAAGTAGAAACTAAAGACACCAGATGAGACTATTTTACTATTTTATTAATATGTAGAAAATGTAATAAAAAAGGAACTATATAGTACATGTTCAAACTAGAGCTAAATTTGACAGTAATATCCAAGGTTATCCAACAACAAATCCACAGTTTCAGTACATATGAGCTTTTCAAACAGTCAAGATCACATTCCGTTAACATTTACATTCTCGTGGCGAGATCTCCAATCATTGACGGTACCTGGCGTCTGTAACAAATCCCACTTAACTTCGTGGTCATATCAGTTCATCAGCTTGTATAAGTAAACCCGTGAAATAAATAAGTTTTCATTTTGATACCAAACAGGACCTGGTATGGTGATTAACTGATTTCTTTTTACAATGTCGCATCAGTCACAGAGTGATTGGAAAATGAACAGCAGTGAAATAAATAAGGGGAACGAGCTTCCTCAGTAGAAACGATCTGATGCTGTTTGAGTTTTTTTTTTCTCCAGTGACTGAGACTGAGGTTTAGGCTTTAATGATGGGGGAGATGCTCTTTTCAAACAGTAGACTGAGGGGGTGAAATTTTACATAATGACAAACATTGAGATAAAATGTTAAAAAAAAAAAACTCAATCAGTTGGTTTGTATTGAGAAAAAGAATCTACTTTGGTGTATGTGTTTATAAAGGGAATACAGATGTTCATAATACAAATAAAATAATTCAGGCTCTTTTCATATGTGTAAATCCATGCTGAGAGGGTTTCAACATCTTTTTCTGAAAGCTCTCAATGAAAAGTAATATTGCTTTTTAATTACACTAATGAATCTCAAGCAATAGATGAATTATTTAAAGAAAATAACATTCATATATAGATTATTAGCCTAAAATAAAAGGTTAGAGAGAGGTTTTCTTCTTGACACGATTGATTTTCTCATTGATTTAATGAAAACTGATGGAGGATGGTTGAAAAACAAATATGTAAAATAAACGTGAATATTGAATGAGCTTTCTTCCTAAAAGTTTAGTGAAAGAGCACCTCAAAATTTGCCATGAGAGAAATCTCTCATAATACAAATAACATTCTGTTCCTTTTCTGCAAAGCCCCAGGACCTTTGATTCCTTGTACAAAAATACACAGAGGCGAACTTTATCTAAGTAGTTAATGAAATAAGTACATGGAGAATTTCCTACCCTACCATAAATCACTACGGGAGATGGATTGCATGAGAGGCTATGGAACAGTCACTTTGACACCCAAACATAAATCAGACCTGGGGAGGGGTCACGTGTTTGTTATAAATTATATTTTGGGTTATGATGGTTGTATTTTGCCTTCGAGGACAGTTCCACTGTTTCCACAACGGCCGGGGGACCTGATGATGTAAACACGTTTTCTACATCTTCTATCTCACAAACCGTTTCAAGAGCACCTTTGACCCACAGCAACAAAGTCATCTGACACTATACAATCTAAATGAAAACATGTTCTAATGACATTTTCTATCAGGCTCAAGACATGCAGCAGGCTCCACCCACCCCTGAACACAATGTCTACAAACAAAGTGGTTGAGGGGAAATGATTCAGTGGGCTTCATTAATTAGTTTGCAGTTTAAGGGGGAACACATCAAATGACACAGTATCGTCAACTCTATATCTACACAAGTATATTAGTAGTAGTTTATAGAGGGGAGAGTCACTATTGTTATTGTTTCTAAAAAGGACAGAAAAAATTGCAAATGAAAAATATCCACAGACGTATGATACAAGCCAGATCTGCTGGTTGACTTCAATGAGAATTGAAGAAACTGACTGAAATATATAATAATATAACTGAATTATAGAAGAATGACATTAACAGCTGTTTAAAGTATTATATATATTATATAATAATACAAACATTGCTTGAAGCGATGGTGACATTGAATTCCAAGTCATGTATTGGACAATCAATTTTGTTTTTTGTTATCTCCGCCAAGGAGGTTATGTTTTCACCGCTGTCAGTCTGTTTGTAAGAAAGAATACCCCAAAGATGCTTAATGGATTACCACAGAATTTGGTGGATGGATGCCGTATGGGTCAGGGAAGAACCCATTTAATTTGAGTAGATCCAGATCAGGGGTTGGATCCAGGATAACATTGCAGGATTTTAGGAGGGATTATTCAGAATAAAATAATCTGGCATGTTTAGGGAAATGATATCCATGAAAGAATGCAACTTGGTGCAGTGAGCGGTGCAGGAATGTGCCCTAGTTTTCGGTTGGTTTGTATATTTGTTTGTAAACAATACTACGCAAAAACTACAAGACAACCTTACCACAAAACGTAGTAGAAGGATGTGGCATGAGTCAGGGACGAACCAAATAAACTTGGATCCAGATCAGAGGGTGTTTTGTTTCGTGAACATTGTGAGAAGGGACATTATTCAACATTTTCCTTAATTTAGCAGAGAATGATTCATAGATCTTGATGAACAAAAATCTGGTATGTTTAGGGAACTAATATTTATGAGTGTGTGCAATTTGGTGCAGATCCAAATACGAACTCTACTGAGTCCCTTTCTAGTTAATAGTGTGAGGCCAGAGAGGAGGATCCATAGTAATCATTTTCGACAGGAAATTTAAGTAGAAACTGTTCCCAGAAAACTCCTGTTAACTAGTTAGCACTGAACACTTTGTGCAACAGTGAGGACACTGACTAAAACAAAGTTCTTGGTGGGCATTGCAGATTACGTCCGCCCGACTAAAAGAATACATTCTCTGCCATGTTTGCTGATTGTGTTGTTCCACCGGGGAGCTTAAACAGCGAAGCAAGTAAAAGAAGGGCACAAAGGAGAAGGCTTGGCTCCACTCCACCTACTGTTCTGCTCTCTTTGTTAAGTTCATCTCAGCTAGCAGTGGGGGAGAGGCGAGGCTAAAATCTGCAGCGTGCCCACCCTGGCTTTCTTTTGCATAGAATTTAGTGTTCGTGTTGCATAAAGTAACGCTCGGGGACACGATTACCATAAAACTCTCTGAAAAGTGAGAATCTATTAACACAGGACAGAAAAAGCTGCTTCTGTGGCTTTGGTGACAGTTTGACTGGCGTCTTTCCAAACAGCAGACTGACTGTTAATTATGCAGATCTTTGGTTAAATGTTACATCTATCAGCACCATCTCTGCAAGCAATCACAGCATCTACATGAGGGGGTGAAAGACTTTTTAAGTGTTTGTAATTTGCTTGAGAGTGATATCAAACGCCCACAAACGATTCAATATATCGGCTGAATTGAATGAACAATAGCTTTGCTGTGTTCCCACTCGTAGTGCAAATACTGTCTCAGTGTGACTACCAATATTTAATAAACTAGAATATTAATGTTTATCTTCATTCTGCTTAAATAATTAACACAAATAACATTAAAAATTAACAGACAAACATGTAAAATGAAAGAGATGGTGATGAAGCTGTTGCTGGTGCATTGATTTTGATTTTTCACAATTTTCTTCCCTCTCATGTTCAGTATTTATCATCATGTTGAATGATTACATCAACTTAAAATAGGCTAAACAAAACCAAGGCATCAAATCATATTAAATAGATGGGACTTCAGTCACAATATCAGTTATAAAAATATATATATATCTTACAGTTAAGGGTTTTAATGGCATATACAGTATATCTTTCATTAAAAGTGTTGTTATTCATAAAGGTTAAAATAACACTAACTCTAGAGCACTCTTCAGGACCCTTCTGAGCACATTTCCTTGCACCCCAGGGGAAAGGCAAATCGCAGAGCGAAAGGGGGGAAAAAGAATGTTGGATTGCCTTCCCATTTTTACAGCAAATAAAACCATTGTCATTCAAAGTATTCAATAATAAATTACATACAGTGTCTTCTATCATCTGGGTAGAAGTACAGCAGGGCGAGACAGCTAAAGCTGGGCAGGAGTAGAGATAAACAGAGTTCGGACATTGCTTCACCTTCTCTGCTTCTCATACGATCACACCCATGTTCATGACAGCTTCCGATTGTTGGTAGTGTATTAATAATGTGATGTGTTATTATACAAATGAATATTAATAAGTATTAGTAGCCTTTTTCCCTTCATAACCGTTTTCTTCTTTGCAGCCTCATGAAAGAGCCTTGGCACAGTAACATCACGACGTGCCTGTTCTGTCAGTGAGGCGCACAGATAGCAGGGACTCAATACCGAACACTGTCCGAACTCCATTTATCCAGACTGCGGGGTGGGCGGAGGTGGTTTGTTTAAACAGGGGCAGACCGCCTCCTCTTGCTGCTGATGCTACGGAAGTTGAACGGCCTCATCTTCATCTCCACAGAGGGAATGGAAAACTCGTGGCCTTTCCAGTGGTACCAGTTGATACCCTGTAAGTGTAAAAAGTACAAATTCAGAATCAACAAGGCTCTCGTTGGTAATTCTGGAAAAGCTAGCAGACCTTTGCAGCAGCTCGCAGAGTAAACTTTCACATGACGAATACAATGATTTGACGTGTTTTAAACTGATCTGTGAGGGTCACAGACATTGGCTTTTTTTTTTTTGTACAACTTTATTTATTGATGGCTATTTGGACATGAAGAGGATTGCAACAGATACGATGAAAAATAGCATATATATATATATATATAAGGCTATACAAACCATTTGTGGAAATGACCGAAAATTTTATTTTATTTTGACGACTGTGAATTTTGATTTCGACTGAAAGAAGTAAAAGCAAGTGGGGTGTAAAAAAAAACCCACTTAAGAGCTAGCACCAATGTGAACTTGCTGTGATTATAGTGGCATCCAAGCGCTTTAATCCCTGTCGCCATCAAATCCAGGTTTATACCAAGAGGCTATTTTTCTCTGCGTGCCTTTTTCAAGCCCATCCGTTGCTGCTCCCACTTGGTTTCATTTCGTGTTATCAAAAGACAGAGAGGAAAGTACAGAGTGCAGCAAGAGAAGCGGCAATGCTGCAAACCCTTTGTAGTTGGACCAGATCACAGCTTCACACAACACCTCACTTACACCGTCTTTCTTTTCCCCCCTCAGTGTTGAGCTGAGGGGAAACACATCACATTCCAGACAAGCAACCAACACTCGTTCCCACCTCACAAAAAGATGTCCATTTCACCACTGTACTATTCTTCTTCATCAAATATATGCATACAAAATCTGTGTCCTTTTTATTTAAAATATTTTGACACAGGCACTCTCGACTCTTTTAAGATGCATCACCCTCCTCAGTTTCTCTAAAGTTGGACATGTGGTGCAGCTGTTGGGCTCCATGAAATTTTGACCTTTCAGTTAACAGTAGCTCCTCCGTCAGACCAATCAGTGTGATGAGTATGAACCCTGATGTCTGTAGGAGGTTTGGAGTCACTTCATTTACAAATATTTCAAGATGGCATTTTTTTAAACTTTAATCACTGCGTCTGCAATCGAGCTAATTTATGGGAGTTGCGTAAATGCCAGACTACCGCACCAAAAGGCCACCATTTTGATGAGGCATTGGATTAAAGAGCTGTTTTACAAAAGTCTAAGTTTGACAAATTCCATCCCCACTGTGTTGGTGCGCACGCTGAAATCTAAGAGACCAACAAGAGGTGAAAAATGTGCTGCTGGGCCCCTTTTAACCCTCGATGAAAATAACTGTTAGTTGCAGACCTAGTTAATACTAAGGCTGAATATTAATAACTCTAAAACAAATATTTTAACTAAATTATCACAAATCACTTCAGGCCCAAAGTCTGGAGCTATTGGAGCCCTGCGAGTTTTATATCTATCCCAGATACAGAACCACAAGAAAAAGGTTTAGTATTTTGAGTAAATCCACCTTTCAGACTTAGACAGAAAGAGATGCTTGGCTTAAAGCTAAGAAGATGAATTACCATGTTCACTTTCTGATCAGTGTATTCACCAGATGACTGACCTGACTATGTCTGGACTCGCCGTATTTTCCATTGAGGTTGGCCCGGTGGCAGTTCTTGTACCACCAGGCTCCTTTGTAAGACAAGGCACAGTTAGTGACAGCGATGTCATTGTCTCTGTCTTTTGTAGAGAAGGGCCGGCCCTGGTGGTAGCTCAGAGAGTCACCTGTGATCAGAGGAAAGAGACAGAGAGAGACAGAGAAAGACAGAAAGACAGAGAGACAGAGAGAGAGAGAGAGCGGTGGAGAGGAACAAACATCAATGTATGCCTAGCATCACTGGCGTATGGCTAATGGCGTGATGAGGGGCAATAAATGATCCAGGCAGGCGGGAGGGAGATGGAGAGGAATGAGGGGGTGGAAGCTGAAAAGGGGTCCTGCCGCGGGCTCCATGAATTTATTTAGGCAGAGAGAATTATAATTATAAACATGAGGAGATGACAGGTAATGCTGCCATATGGTCTTGTTGACAGACTGAGAGATACATGGGAGAGCGATGGGAGTGGAAATGTCGAGGAGTGCTGAGGCAGGTTTTAGAAAAGGGAGAAAAAAAGATGGAGGGGAACGAATACAGGAGACAAAAATGCAGATGGCAGAGGAGGGAAGGGTGATTTTCACTTAAAGGCTAGAAAAGCAAATAGTTTGCTACAGGGATGGATGAATGGCACACTGGCTGTTTCTACAAAATAAGTGGGATGGTTATAAGGGTTATGAAATGCACATTCATGAATCGTGCATTGAAAATAACAAATGTAGTCAACCACATACCAGCGGTGCCATTGTACTCTCCTATCCTGAGCTTGTAGAGGTTTCTCGCATCTCCAATGGAGAACTTGTCGTAATTGGCGTAAACCGACTCCTGTCCATCCCTCATGTCGATCCTTAGCTCATAGCGGCCCTGAGCAGCGATCTTCTGGATGTTGTCTAGACCTGTAGAGAAACAGGAAACATTTCTTTGATTTGTAACATCTGCTGTCTAAACACAACCTTTGAATCAGTTCAACCTTGAGGCCACGCAAACATTTTAGCCAAATTTAAAGAGATTTCTTCAAGGTTTTCCTGAGATATCATGTTCAAAAGGTCAAAAACCTGTTCTGTGAGGTCACAGTGACTTTAACCTTTGACGACCATCACTTCATCTTTGAGTCCAAATGAACCTTTGCAAGAAAATCCCTCTCTGTGTTCCAGACATCACATTTACAAACAAAAAATGGATAATGATGTGTCACTGAGTGGAGGCAAAAAAGTGTATTTACAATTTTCTAACAACTCAAGGATAAATCTTATGTTGCTGATGTGAGGAAAACAACTCTGTCCAGACGAGAACACATAAAAGACTCTTAAAGATGAGACAAACATGCCAGGCCAGCAGGTGACGACAGAGTCTACCTCAACCATCTGTCAAATAATATATACTAATAATATTATTATTAATATGGGGCCAGGCGGACGCCTGTGAATGCTGGTAATGTGGTGCAGTAAAGCTAAATTTAGCTGCAAACTTGTGAATAGACCTAGCAGTGTTAACTAAACGTAGAAAACCAGGTATATAGCCATGTTTCTGGTAGAGGATCATGTATGCTGTGACATCATTGCTTCCCAAACACTCAATTTTACATAAAAACACTGTTTGCGTGTGGATGAGAGACTCAAACGCATAGGAAAAGGTATGTTATGATAAATATTCACAGAATGGAGAATTAATTTAAAACAAAATTTTCTTTACAAGAGAAGCTCAAACATCATCTTTAAGACAGTGTAGCTTAAATAAAAAACAACATCAATTTCTGCATTTAGTTTGAACTCTACTTTGCCTTTAAAATATTTTCAGTATTTCATGTACTAATATGCTTGGATAGAAAAAGATAGTGTATACTGTGCAGACCGAACTCTATTTTTCATATTTTGATAAGGAGAAAGAGAAAAAAAGTAAAAGTTACTTAAAATTAGTGTATTTGTGTGACTTAATGATAATCACATCCACACTCATACCATGATTTTAATGTTTTGGCGGAGTGAAAAACATTTTGTGCCCCACCTAAAAATGAGTCCTGATAAGCACTAAGTCTGTCAGGCGGTTGTGTGGACGTGGATGATCGTCATCGTCAGGAGAGGTGGAAACTGTCACCACCAGTCGCCTGCAATTGCCACAGCTCTCTGAGATATGTGGCCTTGCTCTCTATCTCCTCAGCAGCAGATACGTGGCTGCTTTGAACTCAGGCAGGCAATAAGACCCCACACAGACCTGAGCTATCGGAACCACGTTTGCTATCAGATTACAACAAGCACCCATTTGGAAAAGTGCCTCTTTTCCCGCTTAACCTCCGGCAGAAACGTCACATGTGCACTTTTTCTGAACCCGGAGAAACTCTGAAGAAAAGAGAAAAAAATCCTCCACCTTCACTGATAAGAAAAGAGAATTAGAAATCCAAGAGAGCAGAGGAAACTATAAGTCTGCAGTAATATTCCAATTGAAAACAGATACATATATTTAATAACCAAACAACATGGGAAAATCAACCTCATCTTAAAATCCTATTGTATAATAGCAGCATATAATCAGCAATTAATATAACACCCCTTTTTAAACAGTTTTATGGGATCAGACTGATTTATTCCAAACTGCAGTAATTAAAAAATGCAGTCTGACACATTATTTCAGTCTTGTCCTATTATACTACCAGTATTTACCATCTTGTCATATTTTAATACCGGTGTTAAAAAAAGAAAAAGGAATAGGATAATGATCACAAATGGCACACAGCCGCCCTGGTTTCTCTGTTACTACATCATCAAACTGACATTGTGTTCAGCATGACTGGCGGAGGTCAGTAAGGATGAAGAATAGATTGCCCTCAAGCAGCAATAAAAACGGCCGTTCTCAAGTTGTAACAGTTAATAATGAAAGCTTAATTTCCATATTCTTTACTGCTGGCCAGTGAAGTGCCTCTTCTTTTTAGTCTGACTGGATTTAATACCGATGTTTATGGCTCCATACTGTCCAGTATATTGCTGTTCTGTGTGTAGAGGCAGTGATTAGCTAAGTGTTTGATGTAATGGTCTTTCAGTGCTGCAGCAGTGAACAAATCTGTGGAAACAAGAGTGAAGGTCAAATGGTTTGATATTGTAATGACCATTCATACGACGATACCATTTACTATAAGGAAGATACAATTTTACTGTGTGAACAGTTCAAATGCACGTCAAGGGATTTCCCTACCACTAAGAGACTGGAGCTTGGGTGCCTAAGCATATTTGCACATCATCTAGTGAGCTGAATGAACAGAATAAAAAAAACTATAGTTCACTATTCCTCTGGAGAGACAGGATTGTGCATTGACCTGAATATCGTTCTGTACAAAAGGTATGAACAAAGAATGGGGGCATTGTCTTTGCATTCATGCCAGCAGCAGAGAGCCGAGCATGGTGGGACAGGACAGCATGTTGTTGTATTAAACCTCACATTCATAGACTGTAAATAAAGATGGACGACACTTCTCCACTTCCTCCTGTCGTCAAAATATCCCAGACATGAGTGGTGCCATCTTGGGCTATTAATGTAATTTGGAACCAGGTTATGGCGTTTATTTAGTCTCAAAATGTGTTACTGCAAAACCATACTCGCAAGAGAGTATTTCTACTCTGCAAATTCATAGAACCTTATCCATGAGTGGAAAAGCATACAGGCCAACAAGCATTTGTGCACAACTACGGTTCCTTGAGCACGGGGCCGAGACCAGTGCAAACCCGCCCTTCCCATATGCGCTTGCAACTGCTCGACACCGCCCGACAGTCGCTTGCTCATCAAGTTTAATTTTGGGAACGGACACGGTCAACCAACTTTACCGGTGTGTGTTGTAGAGTTGGGGTGCATTTATCTCAGGAAACTGCCAGTTGTGACCTCATTTATTTCATCTTTGTATATTTTCACTCACATTTGGCTTGTAGTGGATATTAATGTTGTAATTAAAGAGGCCACTGAGTGCTGTTAACAACTCAGATAGTTTAATAAATAAATGAATTGATGAAGTCAAATAAATCATTAGATTAATGGGTCACTTTTGCACAGTAGTGATATCGTATTGCACACTAAGGCTTCAAAGTGTTCCCTGCTGGCATGTTATCTTTAATCCAGCATCATGGGCAGAAGCTTTCTCAGTAGCAGCTTTTAATGCTTCCCACCCTGAGGTTACATTAAGCTGCTTTAATGCACTGAAAGGAGCACAGGACAAGAGGGGATGGTCCAAGTAAAACCCTGGAGACCAAGGTGCCCTGGACTGGTATATAGTCAGAGCTTGTGAGGGGGTAGATTGTTGCTGATTCAGCTGAAGTAGAAACAGGTCAGATGAAGTGTTGTACTCACTGACCTACATATGCACGTCTTTTAGATCATATTGTAAAGGCCCAGCCATACTGCACGATGCCTTCAGGTGTCTGTCAATGGTCCCATCACTGTTTACATAAGACACTCTTTAAGATGGTGTGTGATGCTTGATGTGACAAAGATATGTCCAACATTTTTATCAGCGTTTTCAATTTTGTTTTTATAAATACTAAAATAGATAAATTAACGCTTTAAGCACATTTACTCTTAGCTTAAGAGCTGCTTGTGAATGTAACCTCTCTGTGGTTGTGTACAATATCATTCAACTTAATAACACAAACTACAGCTTTAAAAAACTGTATATAAACTCCTGCATTTACCTATTAGAGTGCTTTAGTCACTAATGGACTAGAACGCACCACAGCTATCTTGTGTTATAATCGAATATGTGTCAGCTGTAACGTAACCGTGTTTCCTCACAGAGATGTACATTTGATTTTCTTCTTGCCAATAGCTGACATTTGTTAACAACCACTCACTGTTAAATGGCAAGAATGAAATGTTCTGTGTCAGCGGCACATTAGCAAAATACCAATACATCATTTGTTCTACAACAGGGGGTTCATTTTTACATGCAAACAGCAGCATAAACAATAGAACATGAGGATTCACAATTTATCACACTCCTGCAGCTGCTGTGAGTGAAACAGGATAAAACAGATCAATAGGCCTACATGGTGTTTCCCATTATTTACTGTGGCCGCCCATCATCATCTACCTGAACACACTCAAGAATATCAGTTCCCTTAACCTGTCAGATTTTTTAGTGCTTTGTTTTGTGAATGTAATAAAAAATACCCTATTTTGAAATGTTAAAATAAAGTGATAGAAACATTCTGGATTGGCTTCTTGATTAAGATCAGCAAAAAACACTGAAATGATTCTTCCTTGACCGATGTTCCATCCTTCCACAAAATATATTAGAAAACCATGCAGTTGTTTTTTTTGTAATCTTGGTAACAAATAAATAAACAAACCAACAACAAACAAATAGACAGGGTGAAAACATAACCTCCTTTGCAGAGGCTTTCAGCTGAAAATGTTTACACTTCTCATGTAATCTAAAAGAGCTATCACTTAGTATCTTGTGCTCTCGTTGCTGCAGAGCAGAGCTCTCTCTCTCATTGACCCGTCACAGTTGGTCGGACCATCTGCAGCACAGAGAAAGATCAAGCTGCGTTGGTGGACCATCAAAATGTTCATAAAGCTTTTAGCATCCTTGGCAGGCAGATCTCATGTAACACCTGCTCTAATCGTCACTCCTGTGCTCACTAGTGTCAATTGTGTTCATGTTCGGAGGCCAATCTCAATAATCAAGCCTCATAAACAGGAGAGGTCTACCTAAGTCCCCGGCAGAGCGGAAAGCTTGTTTGCTGGTCGTTACTCAGAAACAGCAACATGTCCACATACAGTGGGAACAGTCTGTTAAGAATGAGAGCTAAAGGGATGAATAGCAGCTCCGATGATGTCACTAGAAGGAAGAGACGGGGGCCACACTCGAGCGGCCAGCCTCGGGGAGACGTATCTGATAAAAAATGTTTTTAAATGTTTGTAAATGAGCATTACTCAGTCAAAAAACGTATTGTCAGTTAATAGTTAAAGACTTAATTATGTATATCCCTAGTCCCTCAGTTACAATATGGTAATAATGTAATGCCATAAAATCTCCCCTCAGTGTTATTTCATTTCTCTAATCAAAAAGTTAAAAAAACATTCTTCTCGAATTCCCGATTCACTTGATGAAATATTCATGTAATATTTTGCTTTAATCATCTGCACCAAAATAATAACACAAAAACTGTCCGAGGAAGAACCATGACTCATTTGCACATTTTCTAATGAATATAATTATTGTTTCATAATGAGATTTCGAGAGGGGGAGAGAAAAAAAATATTTTGTGGTCCATCAAAACAATGAGGATGTTCTGTTTCGTCTTTGAATCAGAGCGACACTTGAAACAATTAGCAATTAATTTCAGGGAGAGACGAGCGTTCCCAGAATCCAGGAATGAATCACACTGACTTTGTGAAGTCGAGTGCCAAAAGATAAGCCACGTAAAATAAAAGGTTGAGCAGCGCGGTTCTCCATCTTCAAGAAAGGGTTTGCAGCCTGCACAAGATATTTGAAAAATCTTTACCCTAAAATAGATGTGTCAATAGAAACCAAGTGAAAGCTATGAACCTCTATTGATTGAACCTATTAAATTCCACAGTCATGGAGACGACGTGCAGATGAAGAGGGTAAAACAGCCTTCAGAAAACTGGAACATAGATTAAACTAGATGGGTGGTTGGTTGCTGCTCAATATGAGCCTATACCATAAAGTGCAGGGTGACAGTAAGCTGACGGAGGGCAGCAGCAAATCTAAGCTTAAATTTAATTTATGTAATACACTAATGAGTCAGTCAGTATTTTATTAAGGTTGTCAAGAAAAGTAAAGTAAGAGTTTGCAGTTTATTTTCCCTCACCCTCTTTAAATTAATAGTTTCATATTCTTACTACTCATGGCGCGAATAGAAAAAGTCTGAAGTTGTATTTCACAGTGTGTGTGGGTTTGCTAAAGCCAGGTTGGCTAATGTCAGTGATAACAGTGTCTGAGTAGAATGGCACTGAATAGAGTGCATACCTCTGCCAAGACCCAACAGACCCATTATAAAACCACTACCACTACGATCTGTTGATTTTTGTGTAATCCTGCTGGCTAACAAACAAAGAGACAAACGCATAACCTGCTTGGCGGAGGTTACCATGCATTATGCAAACAAACACCATAGCAACATGGATAAAAATTGGAAAGTTCTATGTGAATGCAGCAAATTGAATGAGACATGAATAAGACAGATGTACTAATCCACAGTAAATGACTACAGCTTTCACTGCTGCTGATGCATGGAGCAGCTAATGTGAGGCATCACTAATCTAAGATACCCAGCTGGTGGTTCCAGCTTCACACTGAACAGATATGAGTGATACTGCAGAGGCAGGCAGATGTGTATTTACCAAAATGTAAAAAGCTCAACAGAAATTTCCAGATAATTGACCAGACATGGTCTTTCCTGGTAGATGAAACTGCACTCTGCACATATTTTTTTTCACCATCCAGATCAATTTTCTCAATGTGCGAGTCTTACCAAGCCAGAACTCATCCTCCAAGTTTCCAAAGCCAACCCTGTAGTCACTCCACTTCCTGGAAAAGTCTGTCAGGCCATTCTGACGACGCTGAAACACCTGGAAACAGGTAAAAAAAATATGAACCAGTTGTCTACACTGAAATAGATGACACAACACTATGATGCTCAACAGACAGAAGTAATTGAATCCAGTTTCCTCCTACTCTCCACCTCATTTTTTACCCAAAATGCCACAGTGACCCACATTCGTACATTGGACAAAGGTTCTATTAAAAGAGAAAGTGTTATTTTAACAGTGACTTACAATCCACCCTCCTTCATCAGTAGTCATGTCGCAGTACACCTGCACTCCCTGGCTCGGGTCTCTGTTGATGTAAATTGTGTAGACGCCACTCAGCATCTCTCCATTCAGCAGGTGTTGGGCACAATTCTGAGGTGTTGCAAATAGACGACTCCCTGGAGAGTAGCAGAGGAGGAGTCGGGACAAATCAGTATTTATACCCCATGCATTAGGAGTCTTTGCTTTCTTTAAAGATTCAGTTCAGTTTTATTTGTATAGAACCAAATCACAACACATAATCTTAAAGGAGTGTTACACAGTAAGGTCGAGGCCTTACACAATTAAAGAGAAACCGAAACACAACTTCTGAGCTCTACAAAACATTTTTATGTCTTTGAGCAAATATTTAAAATTTTAAGGCTTTATTTTTTTTCTTGAGAGAAGCCAAGAGCTGGTAATTCTTCAGGGATATCTTGATAATCCATTTGGAAGTAGAGGGCTCTTCAAATCTAAATTCACTACATCCAGATTTTTCTGCATCAAATTGCGCATGTTCAAAATATAATTTTAATTATTCAATGAAAATGTTGAAAAATGTTAAAGAAAGTAAATCCCTGATCCGTCTTTGGATCCACATCTGCAAAATATTGAATGGGTTCTTCCCTGACCCATATCGTATCCTCCCACACAATTTCATGGAAATCCATCCTGTAGTTTTTGCATAATTCTGCTAACAAACAGACAAATTCAGTGACAACATAACCTCCTATGTGAAGGAAATTAAAGTTATTAATGTTAGACTTTCAAATGTAATGATGCAGACACTGTTATTCTTTTACTGAAGTGCATCATCTCATCCAGATGTCCGCTGCTTGGTTGAAATAATGGATATTGATATTTACTTTTGGCATGTTGCCATTATTTCCAGGTGATTAGCAGCTTTATGACGTTCCATAACCCTCACTTGACCGACATCCAATTACAGACCGAGGACACTGGAGATTAGAGCAGACTGTTCAGCTCTGTGATTGTAAATTACCATCGTGCAGGTGCAGCCTTATGGGAAGTTTCCCTCACAATGCTACAGAGAGCGGAGATGAAAACTGTGCCTGACTTTGGGGACCCATTATTATGGTTACTGTGATGTGAAATGTGGTGCAAAAGGGGAAATTAATCTGTGAGACCAAGAAAACCCTCTCCATCAGAATCACTTTCAGAGCTTAAATCCAAAAATACGAACACATTTAGTGTGTATGTGTGTGTTAGGGATAGGTACCAATCCCGGCGTTAAATAGGCCCCAGGGCTAAATGATCAAAGGCCTATTGTGTCAATAGGCTCTGAGGTTATTTGTTCCACTCTTGATTCTGGAGAAATTAAACTGAAAGAATGATTTTCTATTTATTATTGCTTTATAAAAGCTGTCATTCACATTTTATCTCACCAACAGTTTTTAATCAAAGCATTTGTCTATGATGCATTTTCACTTTTCCAAAACCCTGATCACGTCACATTTTTATTAATACCAGTCGGAGCAGGTCGGACATATGTATACATATATATATATATATATATATGTTTGTATTGTACTTTACCTGTAGTGAAGGTAGTGGAGACAACAGCACTGGTGTCAAGTCCTCTGGCTGCCTGCAGCTTGACAGTGTACTCTGTGGTCTCAGCCAGTCCCTCCAGTCGAATCCAAGTGTCCTCTGCATCCAGTATTAGCTCCTAGTATACACACACACACACACACACACACACACACACACACACACGTAAGTAAATTCATTCACATAACACATATCCAGGGAGTGAGCAGATGGTAGATGAGGAAATTGCCTCTTTACAGTAATAAATTAATGTGTGTAAAGCACAAACACTTAAGTAAAAATAAATCGTATTACAATCCCAATGAGGTGCTAAAAAATATGAATCCTGCTTGTGAGGTTTATAAAAACCTACAGCAACAAAGAAATCAGAGCTTTTTTTGTCAAGGAAACAACTTCCTTTTTGTTCCAGCGGCAAAAAATTCGATTAAGTCAGTTAAGATATTGTATGAGTTGATTGTATAAGTGTTGCCATTCCACAGCTGCAGAACAGGTCAGAGGCAGCCTGTCTCCGTTTAATGTGAAAGCTGACTCAGCCATGGAAAATTTAAAAAAAGGAAAAGCGAGGAGAAGATGAAAAGATTGGAGGGGTGCAGGCTGGGAGGAGTGGGGAGGCAATTAGACAAGAACAAGTAAAAAGACTCTAATGGGACATCCAGGAAACAAACACTTCTATTTTTGGTGAAAAAGTCACGAAGGTACAGTGTCGCTACTTCCATTGTTTTTCACAAATCCTTCTTCACTGAGCCGATTTTAATGGAGCCAAACTGTTTGACTGTTTTTTGACACGTTTCTTAGATGACACAGGAAGCTCAAAACCCAAACATGTCTCTTCTCCTGTTTGTGTGTGAGCTTTTGGTGCATGTGTGTTACAGTTTGGCCTGGATACACATTAAATATGAACAAGTAAAAATGAAATATTCAGCCAGTTTGAAAAAAAAAAAAAAAGAGAAAAATCACACATTTTCAGGCAATGTGTCCGTGTGAATTATGCAGGGAAGCAGCTGGTAAACGGTGTCTCTCTGTCTCCGAGGAGCTGACATTTTCCCACTGGGTTTTCAGGGTCAGATAAGATTTTTATTGCAAGTGAAACAGCTCTGTCTTATCAAGGATAATAACATACACCTTCATACACTCACTACAGATTGTGGTGGAGTGTTTGGATCTTGGGTGGATACACATTTGTCCTGGTGTACGTGTGTGAACATGCAGATCTGTACACTCCAAGGATACATGTAATTACAAACCATTAAGTAAATGTTAATCAGACAAGAAATTAATCGCGCACGATCGCGTGTGAATTATTCAAGTCCATTATCTCAGTGAGAGGGAGAAGCTGGCTGAACAGCTGTAAGGCTCAGTTTTATAACATTAGATTACAGCTGAGGTAACACTGCGGTTTTTTTAAGCCAAGCCAGACGTCAAGTAGAGACGATCCGAGGAGAAACCTCACAAGGAGCACTTCAGTCTCAGGCGGCGATAAGCGTATTTTGCTCAGAGCATGATTGGTGACTCATTTGTTGTTTGTATGATATGAATTCAAAATGCGGCACTTGTTGAGGCAGCTCACTGTGGCGAATGAGGGTTTGCATCACATCTAAAAGAACATGCAGTGTGAAAAGACAAATCTTCTGTGAGACAAATGCTTTCATGCAACAAGAAACCTGTTTTATAAGAAGATAAAAACAACCCTAGACCTATAGTCAACTGAAATCATTGGATTTATATGTAAATAATAACATAATAATAATATTAGAATTTGTATTGCTCTTTTCTTAACAAGGTTACAAAGGGTTTTACAGAGAAGAAGAACCAAAACAGCAATACAAACCACGATACTAACAACAGAAGGATCAACATAAACACTCGGAGGTGAAGTAAAGTTAGAATAATAAAATGTCAAGAGTGAGACGATAAAATCCAGCAACGTGTGAAGTAAGTAAGTGCTTGGCAAATTAAGGAAAGTTTTAAATGATGCTTATGTGTGATTATTTCAATAGATAAGTTGTTCCACAGTCTGGGGGCTTGAACTGCAAAGGCACAGTCACCTTTAGTAATGAACCAGGAACTGCATCCACTGATCTCAAAGTGATTTTGAAAAGTATTTAAGAATGTCAAAAATCCTCTTTTCTGACAAAAGGGAAATAAACCTTGTGTTGGATCAAAATTGAGAATTAAAAAGAGTGCGACAACTCGGATTTGAAATGTTCAATGCAGCAGTAGAACAATGTTTTGCGTCTTGACTTCATCACTTCCCCAGAAAGGATTAGCTAGATATAATGGGGAGTGATGGGCAGATAGTGTAAACCCCCGTGTCGGAGCCTATGTGGATGCTGGGGTGGTGGAGGGGCTGAATCGACAGGCAGTGACTGCCACAGATTTAATAAACCGCCACATTGGGAGGGTGTGTATGATAGAGGATTGTAGAGAGTGAGGCATGTGAAAATTAAATGAAAAGTCTTATTTTACGGAGACTGATTCATAGTATAACTATGAATCAGTCTCAACAACTTTAACATTAAAGTTATCTGGAACTTGATAATGGCATTTTTAACAGATATCCATTGAAAATATTTTTTTGGGGCAGAAATTGTGAATCAGTGTCATTGCAGATGGTTCAGGATGAACGCTTTCAAAATAAATATACACTGATTGAACACAACATAGAAAAATGACCTGTTTCAATGTTGTTTCAGATCAGTTTATAGTGTATAATAATAAAACATGATCCAAACTGAGTCTTCACACGCACACATGAAAGTTTCTATGCATTTAATCTGAGCCATTTGTAAATGCTTAAATATATACTAATAAAGTTTATTCTTTAAAACTATTATTTAAACATCTCTTTGCTTATTCAGTAAAACCTTATGAAAGGAATCATGTGAGGAGTTACAGTTGCATTATTGTGCGTGAGTGACACCCAATGGTCGACCATGCTGCGCTGCCACACTCACGAGGTCAGAGACAGCGAGAGGTAGTGAAAGAGAGAGAACGGAAGAGTGATTTTATTGTGTCTACAGTGAACATTGAAGGCGACAGGTTTGTGAGTGTGTGTGCGTGTGTGTGTGTGTGTGTGTGTGTGTGTGTATGTGTGTGTGTGTGTGTGTATGTGTGTGTGTGACGTCTTCCTAACATTTGGTTTGAAACATTGTTGCTGTTTGCTGGTTAACACTTGGTTTATTTGTGGTGGTTAAAGTTACTGTGAGGGGCGAGTGAGCGCAGTGTGTCAGTGGGTGTCCTACCAACTACAGACAGACCCGACGTGTGAGTTAATTGCTTATAAAAGATTCCTTTGCAAAGCATCATGGGAAATGGTTACAGTCAGTTCGTTAACAGGCTTGAAGTGTTCCACACAGATCTCACTAAAGTGCTTTATTATCATTACTCAGCCACATAAAAAGGTTTAATCAAAATAAACAATGTCTCTACAGAGGCACATTAAAATAATAACTCTATTGGAGGGCAATTTGACTGTGTCGCTCCGTGTATGTGTGTGTGTATGTGTGTGTGTATGAGTGTGTGTATGAGTGTGTGTGAGTGTGTGTGAGTGTGTGTGAGTGTGTGTGAGTGTGTGTGAGTGTGTGTGTGAGTGTGTGTGAGTGTTTGAGTGTGTGTGTGAGTGTGTGTGAGTGTGTGTGAGTGTGTGTGAGTGTGTGTGCCTGGATGCTTACAGACTCCACATCAAGTGATACAAGATACGTTGACATACATGGAATTATACTAAGTAGAATGGAATTCAGTAGAAGTCCTCACAGTCCCATCATGAAACCACATTTGAATTAAATAAATCCAGATTTTGATTTGGATCTTCACCAAATTGCACACACACAAACATGAGTCCCCTAAAAACCCTCTGGTCATGCCTCATCCCTCTACAAAAATTCATGGAAATTGGTTTAGTAGTTTTTGCGTAATCCTGCTAACAGACAACAATGTAACAATGTGTGTATGAGTATGAGTGACTGATTTGAGACTGCGTGTGTGCCACATACTTTTCGGTTGCCGTCAGTGGACTTGTAGGTAAGCATGTAGTTGTCAATTTCTGCGATTGGCGGTTGCCAGGAGATGAGAGCGCTGCGGTGATTCACTTCACTGGCTGTCAGGTTCAGCGGAGCATCCATGGCTGCAGGAGAGACAGGGAAAAAAAACTTTAACTCTCAAGTTTAGTTGGCTGCAAAATAAGTGATGACTGTTTATGTAATGATAAATAGACTCATGCTGGAGAAACACAGTGTTGTGTTGTCAGTGATGTTTCTACATGGTTCATGGTGTTGTGGAGTCCTGCAGTCTGTCTTTACTCACACGGCTCAATCACTACAGGTCCCATTTACAGTTTCAAAAAGAATCAACCAGCGTTACCACAGGCCAAACGAACAGCCCATTCCAAACAGACAGATTTAGAACTCTGTGTGAGTTTATAATAAATTTAAAGAAAAAAAAAAAGAGGTGATAATGACACATTGTACAGGACATGTAATCAACAAGGTGGATGACATCTTTACACTGATCCCAAATCCCAACAGGCCTCAGTGAGAAGAGCACTGAGACACTTCCATGCTCACTCACAGCGCATCAGCGTTTAAGGCCTTGATCCACGAGCCCACCAAAGTTTTACCTCAAGTTACATCACACCATCCAATTTTACTTCTGGTCGCTGCATGGTTTGTAACAAAGCTTGATTACAGGGCTTTATATTTTTCACCACCTTATATCATCCTTCCTGAGCCGGTATCTGATCATCCGATGTACTATAGCGGGGGCTCACCTCATTTAGAGCATGGTGGAAAAATAAATGACCTCTCATTTGAAAAATCAGATTCCTGCAGTTACATCATGACTCTGGGTCACGTTTCCCATCAGGCGCTCGGTGTAAGGGAGGCGGGGGTGCTAAAATAAATGAAGTGTTCTTTGCATGCTCTGCAGTCCAACACCACGGCTGTAAATATGAATTAAAGACATCCCCTACTGAGCTGTCTCTTCCTCCGATTCCCATTGTCTTTTTTTCTGGTTACAGCTTCAACATTTAACTTGAGAGGCCAAAGGCTTAACTTTTAGCTCAAGTCCTGAAGTTGAACCCATGCAGCGGAACCACTCACCACATACAAAGAAATTTGCAACACTAACTCCCTGCGCTCTCTTCTCATTTAAATCCTTGCGTGTGCGCACATATGAAATGACAGCTCGGTAATTAACAGTGCAAACCCGCCTTGATAGCTTCCTGAAAGATGCAGGGTGCCTGCTCTCGGAGACAGTGATGGACAGATTCACACTGTGTGACGGGGGGGCTGGGGGAGGACAGAAAAAGGGGGGAACTAAGAGTGTTTAAGAGTACAAGTGCACTTTGAGATAAAGGCAGCATATTGCGGATTGTGCCAAGTCTGTGGTGATGTGCCAATCTCCCCCTGTGTAACCTTCTCGTCTGCACTGACCTCCACTGCATCTCATTCCTGCTATTCCTCGTCCCTGCCCTTTGTCCTTTTCCCTCCATTCCGACATCAACCTGGGGTTTTCCTCCCCTTCAGTCTTTTCCTTATCTCCTTGAATAATTGTGTTTCTCTCCGTCCTTCCATCCTTTGTCCACCTCCTCCTTTCCTCCTTATCTGACAGGCTGCCACTCCAACTCAATGTGCCTGAGAGTGAATGGAGTTTATCTTTTGTTCTTGTCATCCCCTCGTCTTGATGAACACTGGCACTGCATTGTTTGTGTGTGTGCATAGGCGATAAATGTGTGTGCAGGGTATAGATGAGAGAACAGAGAGGCAGAGGGGAGTTTTCGGTTGTTAGAAATGTAGGGCCCCCCCAGCCGCCCTCATTTTACCTGTCTTTATTCTATCCTCCTCTTCACTCGCCCATTAAATCTGTCTCCTCGTCCTTTTCTCTCTCATGCTCTCCCTCCAATTAAACCCTTTCATGAAGAGCACCTGAGCAGGTGAGCAGGTTTTCCTCTTGGCTCAGAACAGCGGGGTTGAGATGAATGGGATTGGCTACAGCTAATGTCTCATTAACACAGAGTCAACAATGCAAGAAGAAAAAAACCCCACAGAGAAGCAGATGGGGAGGGCAACACGGGCAGCAGCAATTTGTTGTAGGAAGTGAAGAGGGAGGACGTTTTCCTTTTGGAGTGGATATCACATCTATAGGTGACTCCTCGGTTGTTATGAAATGTTCAAGCAAACATCTTGTTATTGGGGCCTGTACAATGATTCAGGATTTGAAGTCGTTGAGGAAACTTCAGGTTCAGGGCCCAGTGACTGAACATAATTGAACATGTAAGCGAGGGGGCGGATAAAAAATGCTTCCTGTTGCACAGTAAATCCACAGCATGGCTTTGCATGGAGTTCAAATTTGGTGAACTTTATTACGAGATATTCATTGTGCATTTGCAGATGTGTGACCATGCATTAACTGTTTGAAGACTGGTTTGGTTCTTACTGGGATAAATAATGGTAACGGCACCTCTAACCAAGCAGAGCATCAGATCCAAACCTGCTGAAGTAGTAACCAATCAGATCCGTTCGAAATTAAGAGTCATTACTCCTACAAGATCTTGACAGGCACAAAAGAGTTTATCATATAGAGAGGAAAAGCAATAGATATTTTAAGAGATCATATAAATCAGCTTTTCTTCCATGTGTCGACTCTGGTCTCTACAAAAGTAGAGTTTATCACACACAGAAAAAAAACACAATAATTATTGAAGTTTTGTTTTTATTGAAAAAAATATTCATTGAACCCCGACAGGAATCCTGACAGTGTTGGTGCTTTTACTTTGTTATTCTATCCCTGCAGCTCAGAACAACACGGGGAGACTGAAAATATAAGAACCAAACCCTCTGATGTCTTTTATTTATCCACACACTGTTCCCCAGGATTAGAAATGAAGCATTCAGTCAGACTGACATCATTAGACATTGCCTACCTCTCCCCTCTCTGCTTTGGCAGTAAAAAAAAGTCAAATCAAATGACCTTACTTAACTTGTGTTAAGAGCCACACATAAAAGCTTGTGCAGAGTGAGGTTGCAGTTCACATGTTGCGTATGGGACACGAAGCAGCTACCACCACAGATTGAATCTAATTCTGAGCCAAATGCTTTACATATATTTATATTTACACACACAAGAAAATAATTGAGCATATGTTATCGCTTGTTTGTTGTTTCTTGTAAAATTCTGAATCTAATCCCATAAATAAATGCAAACAGATGTCCATAGCAACTATGCCTCACATATGAAATCACTGTATACATTTTTTTATTGTATGACGAGACTAAGCACAACTCAGTGAACGTGTATTTTACGTTGTTCACAATTAAAACTGTACATTTGTTATTAGAGGCTGATGATTGACAGGCTGCATCTTGATCTCATAATTCAAATATTAAAAATATGTTTTTTGGCTATTTGAGATTTATTTGAGATTTATTGATTCAAGAATCTTTTTCTTAAGTGGATCACTGAGTGGCATTTCAAGGCAAATATAAATACATTTTTTACATCTCATGATAAATCAAAAGCTTAAAAGCAGCGAACGTAGTTTATAATTCAAAAAACTATGAGATAATTCAGATATCTATCTATCTAAAAGATTTATGGTACAGATTTAATGGGGACACCAGTTCTTTAAAGTACATTAATCTGTCAAAAAAGCCTCAGTTGCCTGAAGAATGTAGATCATCTGTCTATAATTGCAGCTCTCGGAGCACTTGAAGAATATCAGCCAGAGCTCAATGAAGCCGCCCGCAGCAAGGATCTCTGCAGCTTCACAAACTTGCCAAGCACTTCTCAGCGAGTGGGCTCAGACACATCTGAGGGGGAAAAGTCCCGGTGCTGCAGCCGACAGGCTTATAGAGACACCCGTAGCAAAATCCCTTATTTTCCAGTCATATAGCTTAAATATCAGCCTTTGGGAAACCAAGCTGTCTTACTGTGTTGAACTCTTGAGCCATGGAGGCCAGACAACAAAACAACTCTTAGCCGTGGTTAAGAGGCTTGGGAATCGACAAAAGAACCCCCCCAGGTGTTCAGCATATACGTATGGAGGAACCACCTTTCCCAAAAATGAGTGAGAACAGAAACCTGAAGAACCTTTACTGATGTACAGCACATGGACCATAAAGTGCACGCATATTTAACAACATCTTTCCAGATTTATTCCTTTGGAGCCCATAAACATAACTAAAGGCAGCAGGTGCGAACTCAGGTTTATTAATTAGAATGATTTTCAACATTTGAATCAGCTTATATGAAGCCGAGTCAGACGCAAATTGTTTAAATGTTTATTTCAACATTTAAAGATTGTCATTCAACATGTTTTTTACCTAAAGGTATTAATACAAAGTATAAAATAAACATTTGAAATGTATAGTTGGATTTTACACAGGCCAGGGTTACTGTCAGAAAAGAATAGTAGTGTACCAAATTGATTTTTTCTTTTTCTGATGGGCTCTCTTTATAGTTCTCTATATAGAAGACCCTATATATTATTATAGGGGTTAGTGAATGAGTATTTGACTTGGAGATAGTTGCAGGTAACAGGTTGGTTATTTAAGTCCAGAGAAGAGAAACATTTTGTTGTGGTCCATTAATGCTCTTAAAATGTTTATTGAAATCCTCTTGGAACATTGTACATGAATTCTATATGATGTGTATGACGGCTGCATTTGTCTGTTTGTATTGTGTTTGTTGTTGTAACAAGGTATTGCTACCGTCTTGGCCAAGTCATCTTTGTAAAAAAGATTTAATCTCAATAAGACATTTATCTGGTTGAATAAATGACATACTGTGTATATGTATGTATAATACAGAACATCTAACCCTGTTCTTTACTGATACCGTTACCGGTTTTTTCTTTGGTAATACATTTGCAACACGGTTATAATAAATAAAATTTGTTTCCAAAGAAGCAACATGAATTGTTTACAGCAGCAGAGTCTCTGCAGCATATAAACTCAACCATATCGGTCTGGAAACAAATGTAAAATGTCAAAATAAAACTATTCCTGACATGAAAACAGTGATTGAAGTTGAATGAAGAACACAGACATCAGTCACTATCAGTCATCTCCTCCTCCCTCTGCTGCTCATGTGGATTCATCGCCTGCAGGTAATGCTGCTCGAGAGGGGGAGGCTGCTGCATCCGCCTGGAGCTACAGGTTTACAAACATCCTGACAAATGTGAAGATATGTGGAGAATCAAGCAAACAGTCTATACAGCGGGAAAACTTTTGTTTTAGCTCGCTCCCAACATGCCACCATTAGCTTAACAAGCACACCGTGCTTATGTAAAACATATGGGGTGATGCGATGGATAGATAGAGGTGTGTGTGTGTGTGTAATTGTGTGTGTGTGTGTGTGTGTGTGTGTGTGTGTGTGTTTTGTGGTTCACTGGGCTTATATTTTGTGTCTCTATCCATCCATCATCTATACCGCCTATGGTCGCAGAGAAGCTGCAGCCTGTCCCATCTGGCATTGGGCGAGAGGTGGGAAACACCCTGGACAGGTCCCCAGCATATCACAGAGCTGCCATACAGAGACAAACAACCATTCACACTCACAGCTACAGACATTTTGAAGTCAAATTAATCCAATCCCAATCTGTATGTCTTTAGACTGTGGGAAGAAGCTGGAGAAAACCCACTCAGACACAGGGAGAACATGCTAATTCCCTACAGAAAGACCCTGGCATCCCCAGAGGGGGATTCTCTGCTGTGTTCACACATCAGCTTCTCCTGGATTTCCACTGACATTATACTGGGAGGTCAGGCGGATAAGGCCCGTAGAAACTGCAGGGCGTCTCACTCTGACATTTATGTTTACACATGCACCTCCTCCAGAGAAAACAAGGAGTCCAGTGCATGTCTGAAAGCATCTTGCAGTAACAATGGCACAGGAGTCAGACACAGGAGCAAACTGAAACTAACAGAGCAGGTCAGACAGAAGCAGACGGAAAGAGAGCAGCAAGACATGGAGGGAGGATGACCAGGGAAGAGCCTGGATAGTTGATTGAACCAATCAATGTCCTCTCCCACAGCACGTTCCCAATGTGACATTATCCACTGGAGCGGAACAGCCTGAGAAAACACACTGTGGGAGCGCAACAGTACCAGGCTTTAAGATTTCAATTAGGAAGTTTAATTAACAACACTGGAAGATCCCTCTGAAGTTGGCGCTGACTAAGGCGCCCCCTGGTGAGACATGTTATCATTAGTCCTGGAAGGGGAAAACATTGGTGTGTGCGTTTCTTTGTGCACATTTGTTAATATAAGTCAATGTCGAAGAAAAGTTCTCTCAAAAAAACAGTTTTAATAAATAACACTTCAGCCCGAGGCTGGCACTTGATTAAGTGAGGGTTATTATTCTTTGTTCCTTTTATTGAATTCAGTTATTCTGTGAAAGGAGGTAAAACTTAAGAGCAATATGTTAAATTTAATTATACAATAAGAATATTTATCTTTTATGAAGGCCTTCTTAAGGACAACATAAATATATTATAGGAAATAGATATATGGTCAAGACTAAGACACCAGAAGCGAAACAAATGAACAAATGCATTCAGCTCTGTTAATATGTGTGTGACACTTTTGATGTTTATTCTCTAAGGAAAAATCCTGCATGTCTTTCCTCTTGAATGGAAGAAGGACGTATTTGGAGGATTTCCAAATAGGTCTTGTCTACATGCCTTTTCTACATAATAACATGCCTTCCCAAATGGAAAGGCACGAATAAATTTTGTTTATTCCACTCAGAGGAAGAGAGCAACAAAGGCAAGCACCCAACTGTTTACTTGATTTAATAAGACATGGTGTTCAAAACAAAACAAAATCCCTGTCCTCTTTGCTCAGAGTCTAACCAGGGCAGAATAGCATGTTTCTTGTTTTTCTTTCCTTCCTCTTGTTCTCCTGAGAAGTCGAGGTACATCATGCACCAGGCAGAGCATCTGTTTCCAAATTAGAGTCACCTTAAACTGCCAGGAATAGCTGTTTATGTATGAGTCACTATATGCACGTACAGCATCGACATGGTTGCAGGTACACTTAATTTTCTCCGAGACCCATTTATGTTTTGAAGCCTCTGCTCTCATACTGTTGTCAGTGTTTGTTTCTGTTTCACTCTGCTGCAGTGCAGGACAGGTAGCAGTGCTACTCCTCGGGGATATGAACTCCTCTGCTGACTGAAAAGTTTTTTTTCTCTTCACCTCGCAAGAGCTCTAGAAAACACAAAGTTTGCAGAGCTGCAACTCGACAAAACTGGAACAATTCCTTCAGCCTTAACATTCCTCTCATTGCAGCTGCTGATAAAGGTGAATACAATTAGACTGTCTGGTCACCTGGGGGTGATAGTTATGAAAATCCATTAATGTGAAAAGTTAACTTTACAACATTTTTTGTCCGAATGAATCCTCTCAATACAGAAACATCCTGTAGTTACATTGCTCAGTAACACTAACAACCAATCACATCAGAGAGACAAAGCTCCCATCATACCCTGGATGCTTGTGGAAACCCCTGGCCTGAAAGCTGTGCAGCAGATGTTGTCACTTCATTTGGGTTAATATATTAACACGACACAGATGATGGTTATTACTCTTCATTGTTCCCCATTAATCACCTACACTATATGGTGAGCTGCTAAAGTTTCATAAGTAACCTTTTTCATATTTCTCACAACGTTGAAGAAGCACATGCACACAAACACTTTGACAACGGACCCAACTGTCATCGTCGGATCAGCAATAGCAAGAAGGAATCAGTGAGTGGGCAGAGCACCCCCCTGTACTACCCTTTATCAATCACCTAAGAGGAATGCAACCCATTAATCTGACTCATTCTAACTGCTTCAGAAACAGTGTGCAGCCGTTGCCCTTGGTTAATAATAATGGCAGGATAACTCCTAATTAACGTGCATATTTTTAGGTGTGAATTAAACCGAACATCCGGTGGAAACCTAGACAAACAAGGTGAGAGCGTTTAAATTCCACACTGAACGGCTCCAGACAGACCTGGAGCAGCGTCCTGCTGTGAGGCGTACCTGCTGAGTCGCCGTGTCCCCCACCATAACCATTAACAGCTGAATAAAATGAACACATACGTGTCTGGAGGTTGGTGATGACCGTGCCGCTGGTGAGGGGTCCTTTGGTGGCGTAGAGGGCCACAGAGTAGGTGGTGCTTGGCTTAAGGTTGGACAGCTGGTGCTCCTGCTTGTTGCCTTCCACAAGAAGAGTATCAGCCGTCACTGGATAACAGAAGTAAAAACACAGGGTTTATACGTTTACTACATTTACACCATCCCACACACCTTCTGTTTTCACTTTCCACTAAAAAGATTACAATAAATCTCTTTTAAAATGCACCCCAGCTTGAAAAGTGGCTGATTTGAATCTCAACGACAAAACTGTTGAGGTCCTTTTTTTAATTCAAAGCTTATAATAATGCTTTCCGTAAAATAAGCTTTTGTGGACCTCTCTGCAAAAATGACTATAAATGCACAAAAATATGAGTATGGTGTAATAAACCTGAAACACAATCGTCAGAAAACTTTCCTCAGTGGTGATCTTGTACTGTATATTCCAACTACTACTTGCAGGTATTTTCATGGCTGAGATAATCTTTCTGATCAATTTAAACAGGGTGAATTCAAATAAATCACCGTTCAATTACCAATCTGCATTTTCATTCACACGAGATGTAGAAAAGACATTTAATGTAACTGCTCTACTGTGACAGAATCATTGTAATTTCTAATAATAATGAGGAGAGCTGAGAAACTGATACTAATTGAGGATATGAGTGAATCATATTTTTTTCTTTTTCTGCTCAGGATTTTAAAAATGGTGTTCTGGGTTGCCAATAAAAATGCAGGACAACACGAAGCAAAAATATGAGCTATATTGACCTTGGTTTACAACATTTATGCTCAAGGGAATTTGTCAACAACTTATAATGCAGTTCTGCAAACCCAGGCTGGGCTGGTTTTCTAATATGCATCCAGCATATAGATACTGTCTCTGTATCTGATATGATCTGGCTGCGATCCAGTCAGTCAGGGTGTAATTTACACATTGATTCTGACAGTTGAGCAATATCGATTCTGCAGATAACTCCAGGCTTGGCTTAGTTAGTGAGGGTCACGTGCCACAGAGGAATATGCTTCCCAGAACATTTTGTACCAGCTAATTATGTCACACATCCACATAGCAGAATGGTTCTGTCCCAGATTTGGCCCATACTGTCATCTTGTCAAGACATTTAGGCGTCCACCCCTGTTTGCCAGAAATGGGCCACAAGTAAGCCAAAGCAGCATTGCATGCCAACCAAAGGTGGCCCAATTATGTTTTGCGCTATTTCAGTCATATTCACTATTTTCTACTCGGGCCACTTTAGGTTCATGTTCAGATTACACCTTGCCAAGAGAACCACATGTTTGCCAAAAAAAGGCCCACATTTGTTATGTTATATTTAGGCCACATTTGCTTTATTACAAGTGGACTACTTCAGGCTCACATCTATTTTGTCCGGGCCACAAGAAGGCCAGAAGTGCTGCATCATTACCCAAAGTGGTCCACTTCCGTTTGCTGTCTGGGAGCCTAAATAAAGGCAGAGATTACTAAAATCTTGACTGGTGAGTTTAAAAAAAATATCTTTGCAAAGAAAAGCATTCTTCTGTCAGTTTTTACACATTCACCAACCTTGTGCAACTTGGAAGTCATCCACAGTTCAGAGAGTAAATTATAAACAGGCTCTGAGGGGCTGAGCAGTGTGGGTATCTTTTGTACCTATCTGGATAAGGCTGTCAGACAGTGAGGACACAGGCTGCATCAGAATCGTATGCTGCATGTGTACTAACTGAGATATTCATGCCAAGGCTTAGTAGTTTCGCTGAGCTTAATGAAATGAAAACGAGACAAATAGGCCTATATTGCCTCAAAGGACCCATTGCGCTGATCTCACTTCTTGATGGGGAAACCTTGATGGTACCTGTCACATCTCAGCACGTCGCACCTGAATGACCTACAACAAATATCGCTCATTGTGCTCTGACTCTGCAGGCTGATGTTACTGCAGTCGATGGTGTGATTCCACTCAGCGAATGCGCCGTTTTTTTTCGCAGTAATAAAATATGTAAATTTTACTGCACCTTTCATAGCAGAGTGCATCATGCAACAGCGGCATAAAACACTGGCAGTGCAAAAAAAACCTGATGTGTAAACAATGTGATTCAGGGTCCTGGTAGCCCGTGTAAAGAGAACAGCTTGTTTCATTATTTGCACCTTCCGAGGTCAGCTGATTTCCTAATAATAGTAAATGGTTGTTCAATTCTCATACTTTTTTATGAATACATCCTAATTTTTATTGTCTAATCAACAACACATAATTAAGTGGGTTTTTTTTTTTTTTATGTTTTGAAAACATACCTTGGTTGTGCGTGAGAGTCAGCACGTAGTTGTCAACACTGGACAGAGGAGGATTCCACCGCAGCAGGGCTCCTTGTGGAGTGATGTTGAGGGCTGTCAACTCAGCTGGCATGTCCATCGCTAGGATGACAGTTAAACAAAAATATATAAGCCCATGGCTTTCAAATGAGACTGGGCCAGTGTGTGGTATATGTCTGGATAATGTACAGTCGCACAGAGGTGGGCCTGTGGAGAAAAAGCCAAAACAATGTGCTCACAGGGGAATACTCCGACTATTCTATGGAAAAGTAGCTGAGCCCAAATAGTTACCAAGAAGTTGCAACTTTTTTTTGCTAAAGGTCTGAAAAGTGAGAGTCATCCTAATGATGAAAAGAAAATGTTCCAACCAATTAATTCTGAAGGAGCCAATGAGTAAACACCAACGCTCGGCCAGCCGACCAATGGTTTGAGTTTTGGACTCCAACCGGATGGATATGTATTTTTGCGGGTTGATGCAAATACTATTACAAAATATATATTATTATAAAACCCTCATAACACAGAAATGTATTTGCAGCTTGATTACAGCTAAACATTATTTTAACTACAAATAATTATTAATTAAAACACAAATACAATGAAATAATTTGAATTAAGAAAACATACGAAATCTCAAATGTAAAATGTACATATAAATATACTTCTTTTCTGCATCGTTCATTCTGTTAAATAAACGTTTTCATATTGTCGCACATCAGTTAAGATAAACACAGAAACAAATGTGTATGTGATCAGTCAGACTATATAATTTTATCCCTTAGTCAGCCACATTTCACATTTACAGGACTGGCCCCATATCGACTGGCTTCTTTAAGAAAGATTTTCATTTACATACAGATATAGATTTCACCCAACACAAGGATCCACTCGCCTGAGTCAATAAATTATTTTATGGTTGAAATTTGAGAAAAAACTTCAAGGAAAATTCTAAATATCTGTTAACTGAGCAGCGCTAAAAACATTCACATTACATTATGTGAAATTGGGAAAAGGAGCAAAATGTCACATTAAAAAAGGTGGAACCAGAAAATAGAAAGTAATTTCGTACATTTTGGATTTTATTTTATTTACATCAATTTCATTTGTATAAAGCCAAATCACAAAATACATTATCCTAAGGCACTATCTCAAAGACTATACTAAAATGATATGTTAATTACACCTAAACCATTTTGAACATATCACAATTATTTAACCTGCATCTGATTTAAACTTAGGACATCTCTGCCATTTTGATCACTTTCCCCGGTTCTGTCACATCAAAGTATAAGGATGCATCAGAACAGGCAGTAGAAAGTCTCACATATTCTCCTGAGCTTGACGTTTCCCCACCCTCATCCCTAATTTCACTCTCAGACTGCTGGACATGTCAAAATTGAGTTTGGATTTAATTATACCTTTAACCTCAGTGTTTCGACCTCCATTTCTTCGCAGGCCTGTTATTTTGGCACAGCTAGAAAGTGGCAGGAGAACACACAACACTGCATACACACAAGCGTGTGCTCCAAAGCTCTGCCCGGATGAGCTAATTAATATCGCCCTGCCCTCGTCGGAATAAAAAAAAAGGTGCTCATTAGCTCATCAAAATGAGTTAGTCTTTCCTGTCACTGAAATAGATGAACTAACCTAATTCAAATCATTACTTTAATTGCAAAAAAGGTTTAAGTGAATTTAATGGAGGCTTGCCAAGTCAATTAGATTGGCAATGGAGATAGAGTGGGGATGGCCCCCCAAAAAAATAAAAATAAACAGGTTCTCCTCTGTCATCAGAGCCTGTGATAATCCAATCATTACTCTCCATCTCCTGATTGCACTGGTGAAGCACAGGCTCCAGCCAACTACGTCACGCTCGCACTCGGATCAGTATCTGAAAGTCAGGCTCCGGTGCTCACCGCCATGTTTAAATACAACAAAGGATGTGATGCAGTTACGTGATGGTGGGAACCTCTGCACAAAAAGACCAGCCAGTACATGTACAACCCTGCCACAGAATTCAGAAGAGCGTGAGCATTGAGATGAAGATTGTGTACAGTGTGCAGCCTCCTCCAGTAAAAACCTGCTGAGGTAGCACAATACAGCAGTGACTACAGAGCAACTCACAAAATGAAGCGTCAATAAGACATGTACTCAGTTAAGTGAGTAACAATCAAATCGAACAATCCTTCACATGATTTCTAGTTCTTAGAGGAAATGTAAAAGGAATAAAGGAGTAGTCTGATTACAAAACATCGTAAAATGTTTCTACTCTTTCATCTGGATCTGCACACAAATTGTATGGGTTCCTCCCTGACAAATATATACAAATAGTACTGTATATACAAATACTGCTCTGATCCTTCAACCCTGATCTAAAGGCTGTAAAATCTAATGAGTTCTGTCATTAAGTATCACAGAGTATTTCAATATATCATAACCCTGAGTAGAACTGACTGGATCACATTAACATTTACTTTCTTTTAAATATGAGCATAACACAAGATTCGGACTTATCTTCATTATCATGACTCTCATTTAACAGCTGCTTATAAAAGACTCCACATTGGCTGATCGTGTTTGTTTTCTCCTGCTCGTGCCTGAAGATCTTTACTGAACATGTGGTTTTTTCTGAAGCTGAGACTTCACGTGTCTTGGGGCAAAAAACATTTCTCAGGAGGAGGAGAACCAACATTAGAAATGAAAATCTAAGCTGATAAGCTTTCCAGTCCCAGGGCGACCCCCCCATTCCACTTGTAATATTAATTTGGCTGGAGCATGTTGCCGTTTTGCGGTGAAAACTGCAAGTGTGTCGACTGCTTGGAGCCGAGGGTTTAGCTCCTTTGGAAGATATACTCTTCCCGGCATCGTGTCTGTGTTTTCCCTCATGACTCTCAGAGCATCTTGACTCTGGAGCTGTACAGAAAGTGCAGGGTTCCGGCACTTCTGCTTCAGTGCATCTCACCACACAGTCCAACGGCCAAACGGAGGGGTGCAGGGTTTTGATACTGGCAAGGAACTTTTGTCTCTGGGGTCGTGCAGCCGTAGCATTTTAATATTTATATATTCATATTTTCAATACTTGGCTTGTTTTGGACTTTTTGTTTTAGGTTTCTCATTCGACTCCTGAGAGTTGGCATCACTGTCCCTGGTAGACACCTCATTCGTTACATGGTATGAAAAAAAACAACCCCTGGTTAATTGGTCATGTCTGACTTTTGTTTCTTCTTGTGCACGATGGAGAGACATGAGACGATGGGAGATGGAGAGATCTGACTCTTCTTGCTAGGCATCAAACATGAGTCCCATGTTGAGCACCAAGGTTAGACTCCAGAGCTGATGGCATTTACAAAAAACCACAACCCTTTCTGTGGAGCTTTGTCCAGCTTGTTGCACGGATACAGCACTTATGAAAAGTGCTTGCTCAGGGCAGGGTACTGTTGCCAGAGAGCTTCCACGGTTCTGTTGCTGGAAGCTTCCCATCTTGCGCTAAAACTCTGTCCTGTAATTTGAAACTGCATATAAAGAGTCTTGCAACAGGCAGTCGACTCTCTTTGGTTTTTCCACATGATGGACGCTGTACGGTTTATCAAAGACAGAAATTGATTGCGACCTGCAGCCTCCTCAAGACCTCTGCACCTCCCACGCGCAGCTCCGAGCGCCTGTTTATACAAGCGGCAGATGAAAATGCTGGGAAACTGGTTGACGACTGTGATTTAAAAACTGACGGAATACTGAGCACGATTGAGGAACCGTCACATCCAAAAGAATAAAAGACGCTCATTTAAAAATGTTTTCTTAGAAGCCACAAGGAGGCTGGTTATTGAGAGGGGCAGTGGTGTTGGGGGGGCTCTGCAACATCAGGACCTGGATGTTTGTGGCTTTACAGGTCTTGAAATATTATAAACAGCAGGAAGGGTCTCCACTGTTTTCTCTGCTGCCTTATGAAAGTCTGAAGTCCTGCGTATTTGGTACAAGGAGACTGTTGTTGTGCACCTCTTGTTATCTGAGACGCAACCTCCTCCACCCTGATCCACTCCTCTGCAACATGCTCATGTTTTTACCAACCCTGTTTGGTCCGGCAGCATTCACAGTTGCAGTTTAAACAACCAAGTGCTTTACCATTGTATATGAGTCATGGATATCAGCTCCTTCTTCTATTTTGCTTGCTTTTCTTTCCAGCATTCTGGGATATCATCATTCGCTCTTTTCTTCAATCGTTTTTCAGATCCAGACTGCCTACACTTCCTGATTCATCATCTTCCTGGCCTTGTTGCTGTTGTTCTGCTCCTGCGCTCTTTTCTCCACAGAAGCTCCTGCTGCTGTATGATTCTGTTCATTTTCTACAAAAGTAATCCTGTGTACCTGGAAAAAAAGAACACCTCTGTGTGCCTTTTGTTGTGTTCTCAATTTTTTTGTAGCCTGAAATGATTGTAAAAGCATTTACTAAACTATTACTTTAAATGTGAAATAAATACATTTGCATCACAAAAAAAGGCTAGATCTGCTCCAAGCTCTGTTAATTTCTTACATGGGCTCTGCTTCAGTATGGATAATTAAAAATCAGGATTATCATATAGACCTCTAACGTATTCCACCATAATATAGCTGTGGTTATCATTTTGATTCAACAGAACCAGGGCTTCATTCGTGCAGAAGGCCACTGGAACAGGATCCTGATCCTGCCAAATTGGAATCGGCATGTGTTTGACCGATCCGGCACCTCATTTGTCACAATTAAAACCTGTAATACACTCACTGTTTAATAGTTAATATCATCTCTTCTGTCTTTCCTTTGTTTACTGTGGAAGTTACACGTAAATCAGTTTGTTGTTTGTCAGTTTGTGTTTTTAGAGAGATGTCAATCACTCAGGCAATGCAGTGATGCCTGAAGCGTCAAGGAGTTTGCACATTTTCTCTGGGCTCGGCTGTCACTTGTTATTTTTTGCTCCCTTTGCTTGAGCCTTGTTTATCTATGGAAAAATAGCAAAAACAAATGATTAGCTGAGATAATAACCGGCTACTGCTTAGCTGTTGTTTCAGAACGACAGCATTGTTTGTTGTGCGTAGGAGCTGAGCCGAGGAGATCAATGGACACACACAAAGAATGCGTTCATTTTTTTTAGCTTGGTTGCAAATTAAACACAAACTTTCGACCATGGCTCCAACAGTACACTGTTCTGCTATGAGGGGATGGAGAGAATAACAAGGGAGATGTATTTTGGTCCTTTTGCTGTTAAGGAGGATGGCTACCCTTCTCCAATTGCCTACAGGTTGTCTGTCTGTACCACATCTTAACTATCTACAACACAGCGGGCTGGTACTGATTGAGAGACGACAGAAGTTAGCGAGTGAGTCTCGGAAAAGTCGGCAGTGCACGTCCATATGTTTTGAGGGCTTAGCTAGTGATGGCATGTATCGATTGCATCTTTTCAAAGTGCAGCTTGCTCTTGTTAGTTTACCAACCTTGTCTTTAGCATTGCAAACATGGCTTTTCTTAATTTCACAGATTTCCCACGGGATAATTCATCGATCTTAATAAAAACCAGGCATATTAAGGGGACTGGTGTCTATGAGTGTGTACGATTTAGAGCAGCTTGATTAAACTGTTGGGCCTTGGTCGAGGTATGCACTCTACTGAGAGCCATTCGGGTGTTGTAGTTTGATTAACTCATGAAAATGTAATCTTGATAGGGTTTATCAGCCTGCTGACAGCTTTAAATCTGCGCTTGATTTTATTGGGGACGATTGCGCAGAGAAATGTTGCAGTGATGGACGGTCCGAATAATACCACAGGAAGAAATGCTTCACGCTGACTGTGTGTGCATTGTTGAGTATGGTCCTTCAGAGGCAGCGATGTTGGTTCACTAAGAGGTCAGACTGGTTTGTGTCATATCTGCTGTCATTATGAAGACTAGTAGACGGTCCAGTTAGTCAGACACACAAGGCTGTTTCACTCGCCAGTCGCTCACTGCATCTGCTCTCATTACTGCAGAAGCTGCACTGCCTCACTGTACAAAATATCAGTGTGTAAGGATGTCCTCCATATTAACCCCAGAGCTGCACTGGATGAGTTTGTGGCACAATACCAGAGCTCATGAGAGGCGAACCACGGCCATAGGAATTACTGTGTCTGCTAAATATGAGAGGTGCTGGTGTAAAGCTGCAGGAAGAGGTTTGAATGCTGGATTTACTGTAGATACTGAATAAACACTATGTGGAGGTAGATAAGCTTTCCAATACATTTATTTGAAAAGTGAGACATGACCAATAATTATCTATAACCAGCAGGTAATTTCAGCACCTGAACCTGATTAAATAAATGTTCATTATGCAGACTCATAGGGAGAAAGAATTAACTACACATTTAACATTATCAAACAGCATCAACATCATGCTTTTAAGTGCAAGGGCACAAAAATAAGAGTCTACTTCCTTTAAATGACGAGTGTCTGAACAAGCCTCACCGGTTTCTGTTTTTTCTTTGAGTCTCACATTAACCTCCTCTCTATTTTACATCTTCTCCTGAGCCTTTCCCTGACAATATGTCACAGTTATTCATTTCTGGTAATGGTGGTGAAGACAACAAATTCCATGATCCCACGCTGCTTTGTGACATCATTAAACTAGATCTTAACTAACTGACTGTTAATTGTGGTTTTTAAGGTATATTTTAACAAAGTAAAGTATCTATCTTCTGTTCACATGTCTGTGTATAATAATGGGACAAGCATGGACCTAAACAGTCTTTCTCACACTTGAAGTTTTGGGAAGATTTATACTTTACTGAGGGTCCTGACTTTTTGCTAATGAGCACCGTCATTAGCCCTTAAACAGGCCTTCACTGGTCCATTTAGTATCAGCCCTCATATTTTCCTCTGAGATTAGCAGTACCTGCTGTGTTGGCAAAATACAAATATGGCATCAAGATTTTTCATCTGCAGTAATTAATTAAAGAAGAAGTGAAGTCAGTAGCAACTCAAGTCATTACATACTTAACCAGGCATGTTGGATTATTCCTCCAATCCCTTGTTTGTGTATTGTTGTTCAAAGTGATATTAAAATGTCCCTGGTGGGGCATTGTGTGACGTGAGGAAAATGTTATTTACTGTTCCTAACAAGCTTGACTCTGGAGTTATGTTCTTTTCAGGCTATTACAGCCCTGACGGCTCTGCTCATTGTAAGTACACTGGGACTGTTAGAGAAGGGAGCTGATAATAAAGAGAGAGCGAGACAGAGACGAGAGCGAAACTGAGGCGAAGAAACTCTCTGAGCTTCTTCATTCTCACTGGATTCTTGAACCTGCTGGCTCCTGGTGAATCAGGTCTCATTGGCATGCAAACGCACCACCTGCTCTCATCTCCCTGTTCTGTGCTCTCCTCAGTTCCCTCTTACGCACGCACGCACACACACACTTCTTTTACAGAGAAGAACAGTGTCTCATATTAACATGCGTGTGTGCGTGTGTGTGCAAGTGATGTTTTATGTTTTGCTTAACTTCAGATTCAGTGCTAAGTTTAGCGTCTGAAAGCAAGAGAGCCGGAGACTTTTCAATTATAATGATGCAATGGGGGAAGACAGGGGGAGTGAAACGCAGGGAACAGTAGATTATAGAAAAAAATAAGAGGAAATAGACAGTGGACAGAAAGATGGAGGATAGAGAAGAGAAGGGAGAGAAAGAGTAGGAGGGATATGGAGAGCCATAACAATATGTGAGAAAAAGGGATAAGGAGATAAGCAAAGGGAGGAAAGCTGAGAGAGATGGAGGAGAGTGAGATGGAGTTGGGAGTAGGTTACCAATTACTGGGTCATGGACTGGACAGTTTCATCTATTGCAGCAGCAAAGATTGCACCTCCTGCAATGCCAGCTGTACACTTAGATTTTGTCTCATGTCTGTCTGTTTGAGTGTGTGTGTAGATGAGTCTGTTGCTCTTTTTAACACAAACCTCTCGATGTGGAGTTGTTGTTGTGAGAAGAACAATTGGCCTGAAAGTGTAGTAGACAGGGATTAAAGCAAAAGAGAAAGGTGGTGTTGGGGGTTTGATTACTTTTGCTCCTGGATGTGCTAATTTTTCATGCGGACCATCCTCCGGCCCACCAGGACAAATCCCACTTAGTTTAGACTGAAACATTGTGCAACCGTTGCGTGTGCACACTGTCCGGCACTGCATTGCTGATCTCACTCACCATCACTGCTTGCTCTTTACAAACATTTGTCAGCTCTACAGCAGAGATTCTGCACAAATAGATTAGCATAATCACCTCCCACTGCTGGTGAACACGATGAACCGAACAAAAGTAAACGGTGAGATGGACAGTTCTGTTTCAGCATAACTTCTTTCATGAGCCTTACTTGGAGTTTACTAATTTTGCAATATTTGCAATTAATACCCGCCACCTACTGACACTGGAGGCACATAACACGACATGAGACAGAACCTGTCGTGAGCAACAAATCACAGTGAAGAGATGACTCATGTGCTCAAACACCTCTCAGAGATCTAATTGATGCAAATCCATCAAAGCAACAGAGACATTTAATCCCTGTTTGGAGGGAGATTAATTCTTCATTCGTTTTACATGGCAAACATTTGCCCCTCAATAGTACAAAAATCTAATAATTGAACCTAGCATATGGATTGGAGTCCCTGTGCCAACTGAATATGATGGTGGGAAGCTGCAACTGATTGGTTAAACTAAAAACACTCCTCTCCCATGAAACCATCCATCATGAAGTTCTAATAATGTTTCATTATTAGCTCCCACCTGTAAAGACAGAGGTGCTGACCACTTTGCTCTCCTGACTCCCTCCGACAGCGTTGAGACTGATCTCATATTCTGTTGCAGGGAACAGACTGGACAATGTGTAGTTGGTCACATCACTGTCAATCACCACGCTGTCCACTCGACCTGCAGGAGACACCAGAGAGCGAGAGAGCGACATCAGAACATCACATTTCTTCATGTACAGAGTTACACTGCTCAGTCAATTGTTGTACACTGGGTAAATATTTAATCAAAGCCACATTTTTAATTATAATTTTAATTAAATTTCACTGATAAAATGTTAGAATTAATTGCATCAGAGAGACTGGCAACAGCAAATGTCATGTTCATTTAGCTGTAACAAGGAAAAACTGTGTGCCACGTATATGTTTGTATAATAAAACCTTTTTTAATAATATGCAGCTAAGAGAATTATCATGGTAAAATATGCGCTACCTTTGGCTGACTGGTAAGACAGCTTGTAGTATTCAAATGAAGCCATTGGTTTGATCCAGGAGATGGTCACAGCGTCTTCGGTCACATCCGACACCGCCACCTCCTTTGGTGGGTCTAGTCCTGAGTGATGGGTACAGGCGTGTTATTGTGTGGTCAATATGGTCTCTGATACAACAAGTGTATTTTGTGGTGCACAATTGAATTAAGTCCAGGAATTTACATAAACTTTAAAAGCAAAACGGTGCCCTTGACAGCCACGGAACTTCATTAATCCTTGTAAGGATCATTTTTTAATCTCATCCTCAGACCTGTCCTTGGTCTGTTGAAGAACCTGCAATTTAACACAAATGTGAATTATACAGCAACGATCAAAAGATATTCCAGAGGAAATACAGATGCATGACGCGAAAAGAACAAAGTGGGTGGCATTAGCATTGAAACGGAGCAGGGTTTGCACAGGTATTGGCGAATTCAACATGAGCAAATTAGGTCCTTAGTTATCAGAAGAGCAAATACAAAAGTGGAAAATAGAGGAGAGTAAGAGATCTTTTGTTCAGGACAATGGGAGTAACTTGTAAATCTACCACACTTTGTCTTTCCCACTTTGAAAGGAATGATGACTGTTATTCACAAGTTCAGGGTTCAATTTATAACTCTTGAGTTTGAACTCATTTCAATTTCACCTGAATGAAACACAGCCTTTTAATAAGTTGTGATTATTCATTCATGCATATCTAACTGCGTTGGCACCAAAGAGTAATAGCTGAAATATTATTTGCTCATGAGGTTTCATGTAGGATATAGAATAATGCTGTCAGAGCCTTCTACTACTGTTACTGTGTCTTTGTAGGAGATCACTATTCACTTTCCTCTGTGTACGCCAATATATAAATGTGGCCCTCACGAATCCGACTTTGTTTACACTGAATATTCAGACAAATATAAAACTAGAAAGGCACTGAATAGAGCCCATACTTCCACCAAGGCAAGAGAGTTTCCTTACGAAACCACATTTACATTCACTTGATCCATTATTATTTGGATCTGCACCAAGCTTATGTAATACACCAACGAGTCAGTCAGTATCCTTTCAGGGTTGACCAGAAAAATATTTATAATGTAAAGTAATGAGTCCCAAGTTCACTGGCTATTGCAATTGTCTCCCTCTTAGAACTAAAACTCAAAAAAATATATATTAGTCTTTTAACTGTTTGTATGTGCACAACGTCCCCGAGACGTCCCTTATTCCATTGTAGGCTTTGCAGATATGGCTGAAACTTGAACGTTGTATCACATATACCTCCACCAAAACCCAATTGTCACCGTTTAAATTCATAAAATCTGCCTTTTTGATTTGGTTGTGTACAAAATTGCAAACACTCAAAAACATCAGTCCCATAAACATGCCTGATTTTTTTGTCAAGATACACAAATCATTCTCTGAGAAATCAATGAAAATGCTGAAAAACAACCCGATATCTAGATCTGCAACAAAAGGTAATGGGTTCTTCAAAATCCATACTGCATCCTCGCACCAAGTTCTGTGATAATCTGTCCTTTAGTTTTTGTGTAATCCTACTAACAAACAGACTCAGATGAAAACGCAACCTCCTTGGCAGTGTGTCACTATGGTTAAAACCTGTATAAGCAACATGCTTCCAATGTTGCAGACATAGCAAATGTAATTCTAAAAAGCTCCCAATTTAACAAGGAAAGCCAAAGCACAGTGTCTCATCATCGCTTACGTTCAAACACGTAGGATCAAAGTGGGACGACCAAAATTACCACAGCCTACAGACAGGTGCCTGAAACACTGTACATCTGTCTCAAAATCCCCATCCAATTTCACCCTGCAAATCTGCTTATCGGCATGTGTGGGTGAATGTAAAGAGGGAGAGGGAGAGGGAGGGAGAGGGAGAGAGATAGAGAGAGAGAGAGAAAGAGAGAGAGAGAGAGAGAGATGCTGCCAAGCTTTAATATGAGTCTGGCACAAAAATCAGATGACAGCATGCAGGTGTCTCTGGCACTGATGCAAAGTTAACCTCTCTATTGTTCAACGCTGACTTCCCTCTTTTGTTTGTCTTCAACATATATTTTGGTCCCTTTTCTAGGAAAAGAAAGAAAAAAAACAGAACGTCTCTTCTTTCTTGCCCATTGTCTATTTCTCTGGCAGGTTAAAAAAACTGACCTTCTCCTCATTCTCCCTCCTCCCAGATGAGAACAGCACGCTCGTAGAAAGAAACGTTTCTGAGGCTCCTTTTCATCAGTCAGTTGATGAAAAAGAGTAAACAGTCATGTTGTATTACATATTGTGAAGGATGTGAAGGATTTTTGCAGTTGGAGGGAAAAGGACAAATTAAAATCGAGAGAATAGGAAAGAAAGGGGCTTAAAAGATTTGATTCAACTGTATAGATGGAAACGCAGCTAAGAACAAAGTATGGGACCTGGAGGCCGACTCCTACACTAACTTTTACAGAAACAGTTGAAGCCTTGAATCCGTCCTTTCCCTCGCTCTGTTTTCTCCCTCTCTACATCCTTCTCTTTGGTAGACCAACATTCTCCACAGGTAAAACAGCTGATTTGAGTTTAAACTAAACACTAGATCATTATTCAGACTGGCTGTTGAGTTTCATATACTGTATGTGTGAAAAAAAGAAGAAAACCAGCTGGGAGTTTTGGTGCTGTGTCTCTATATCTGGCAAAAAAAAACAAGCACAAAATAAAAACATTGGAGGCAGATGTCTAATTGGGAAACTCATTCTGCTGTGGCTCTATGCAAATGAAAGGCTCAAACAGCATTTTGCAAAGACATATTTGATTTAAAGTCACTCTGTATTTCCATTTCTTACACAGATTTCTCCTCATCTTCCACCTTCTCGCTAACATATGCTAATTCACTACTTTCATTGAAAAACGAAAAACAATCCTGGGTTTGTGGTTCTGTGCCACCTGTTAAAAGTTTAACCCTTTCATAAATGATAAATCGGTCAACTTATTTGTTCGTTGTTTAATGGAAAAATAATCAACTACTAATATCGATAAGTGAGGTATTGTTAAAAGTTATTATACAAGCACAAAATACCAAAGATAATATAATTACAGCCAAAGAAAATGACTTACATTTAAAAACTGTGATGAATTTGCTATTTTCTGATATACACGTAGAACAAACAATAATAAATCTTCACATACTTGATCTCATAATAGGTTTGCATTTAAAGACAACACCATGCATGCCTGGGTTGCATTGATGAATATGAAGTGAGGATGCATAACGGCTTGCACAGCGTTCACACAAACTCCTTTATGCTGCTCGTGTTTATCTGTCTTCATCAGTGTCAAACCTTAGACGCCACTCCTCCATGACTTCAAGTAGCTCACCTGTAGTGAGTGACGCTGTAATAGGCTCAGAAGTAACGTCCCCCTGAATCGTGATCAGACTGATGGTGTACGGAGTGGACGGCAGCAGCCCCTGGACCAGCGACCTTGTCTTGGAGCCATCCAGCGTCACCTTAGAGGTGTCAGTCCCATCGGCAGAGCTGTAACTCAGGATGAAAAAGTCGGCAGGCGGCGCCGGGGCACTCCACGCCACGGATACAGAGTCGGAAGTCACCTCTGACAGGTAGAGGTGGGTAACGGGTCTGATTCCTGGAGGGACAGAGGGTCCAGTGGTCGTCAGAGTTTTCAAGGACGGGTTCAAAGTCAGGAAAAGAAGAAAAAACACCTGCCATCTTTATGGAAATGACAAACAAGCGATTTGGTGATAGATGGAAGCGGCTCTGGATGGTTTAATAGATCATTAAAAATACAGTCGAGATTAGCCTGGGGTGTGATCTTGATGGAGCAGGTGAGGGGCAGAACAGACCACAATAGAAGAAAAAAAGAAGGGAAACTAATGAGTCCGCCATAAAGATGAAGATGTAAGAAAATGGAGAAATGATGATAAGTAGATGGTGTTGACTTGGACAGAAGACGATGATGATGAAGATGATGAATATGAACCAGAGCAGCAGCTGACGCAGCAGGACGTCAGTATAATTAGTCATGTGCTGATGTATCACGGACTTCTTGTTCAGATTAAAGTCGTCCCCTGGAGTCATGCACTTGAAACCTGGATTGTTTTCTCTGACCTGTTCTTAGGTTCTTTACTACCTTTTATTATTCTCTCATCAATTTAGTGTTTTACCGACCTGTGCAGTCAGCAGAAAACCGTATCTCATAAACCCCATGCTGGTGGAGTACGTGTGCGTCCTTGTGCAGAGAGCTGGTAGAAGATGTGTTACATACGCAAAAGGAGAAGACACTAATCCAAACACTGCACCACAGCTGCACCGATGGAGCCATAGAGAGATATGATATATATGGATTAAATGTGGCAGAGGAGGGAGGGAAGAGTAATTGTTGGTGTCATGTGATTGTGATAATGGTTATGATGATGCTGTCATGGTTGTTCATCATGATTATGACAAGTCATCTGCAGAGTTATTATTTGCAACGCTCGTTCTAAACCTGTCTGTTTGAAATGGACTGATCTGTGGTGATGCTGGTTGCAGCTTTCTTTCTGAAACAGTACAAGTGACCTGCAGTAATAGAGCTGCAGCAAGTAAAGACCTGCTGCGGGACTCAGTCCACAGAACTCTGAAGATGTGCGATTGCTGTCCACTCCTTTATTCTATAGTTTGGCTAAAGCTTGACTGAGAACCCCAGACTGGAGAGAAACACATGTCTTGATCTACAACGTCATTTAGGCTGATGAGTCCCAGCTGCCATTGTTACAGAGATGGAGATTTCTGGAATTAGTAGAGTGATCTGAAAGCTGGTAAGATGCAGCAAACATGACCATGAGGGGGCGACGTAGGTGAGGTGTGAGGAGAACTTCAGAGAATCGTGTTCCAAAGGCTGTGATGTCACATTTGGGTTTCATGGCACTGAGGACAGCTTACCATGTTAGGCTTTTTTCTCTGCATGATTCAGATATTATTCCAGATATCTGCTGTTAACCTTGCAGTGCTATTTCATACAGGTTGCATTGTGGGAAATGAAGAGATTTCCAAAAGTTTCTTTTTCTAAATCTAAATCATGTTGATGGTCTGGATGTGACAAAAATGATTCACTTAAGATAATGATAATAATGAAAACATTTCCACTTATGAAATGTTTTCCTTTTCTGTTCAATTAGCGTCTATAAAGCCTAGGAAAAAAAACATTTATATGAATGAATAAATAAATCAATAAATAATGTGTGAATTAAAAATATAATAAATAAACAGTCCTCTGTTTTTATTTGAGTGATGTAAACAACCACATTAGCAAATAATGAAAATATCAGATAACTCCACACAGCATGTAGTTCAGACAGCAGAGCTCCAAGGTCATTCTGGGATTTATAGCTTGGGATCAAACTTTGGATTATTCAAAAAAAAAAAATCTGCATATGGTGAGTTCACTTGAGCACAGGAAGACAGATGTTGCCAATGCGGCCAAGTGAACAGTGGATGAGAAGATGACAGGTAATTAATTATTTTCCCCTCTGATTCTCTTGATCTGTCATTTTATCACTCTTATCATTTCATCATCTCTCCTTTCCAGATGGTTCGAGTGATGTTACTGAAGGAAACTATAGATAACAAGCGAAGATGAATGCACTGATGATGACCGCGATGGTTGAAGCGGTGACAACTGCCTCCCAGTCATGGCGAAGAGGAGAGGAGTTGATGATGATGAGAGGGGATGAAGAAAAGAGACAAATCTGGCAGCAGGTAAGCGCTTGCCCATCATTCTGACATCCGCTGTTTGTGTGACTGAAAATCACATCAAGTTTTCTGTGAGAATAACAGAGGACCAACAGAGCTGAGCGGACTGACAAGCGATCTGACATATCGCCCGGTAGACACAAGTCTGGAGAGACGAGAGCCAAGTTGTGATTGAGACATTTTCAAGTGTGACAGGAAAACTGTTGTTGCTACAGAAACACAAACACACCTCGATGCAAACCAGAGGTGGAATTAGCCAACGTTTGTAACAACCTCATTAGCCGACTTCACTAATTTGCAGACGCTAATTGATTCTAGAAAGTCTTTTGAGGTTATTCATTTCCTCACTGGCCTTACCTGCTGCTCATTATATTCACCATTTAACTCCATTCAAATGCCTGTGTTGTTCAAACAGTTCTCGAGCCTTCTGCAGTAACTGGCCTTTCCTGTCTTTATCTGAAACACTCAGAGGTGAATTCTATCTATAAAACTGTACTGCCACTTAGAAAATGTTATTTCAGATGTAACAGAGAAATAAACTGAGGATTGTTGGTATTTGAAAGAAAATGATCTCACTCTTGTCTCAATATATCCTCCATAATGAATCTTAACCCATTTAGAGATGATGCAACACAAGTGTTTATAAAGACCGTGCTTCTCCCTTCAGAGCCAGATGAGACGTTGTCATCGCTTTCAAGACATGTGACTGACAATGGCTGACAGATGTAAGCGAGGAGAGCGACATTGAAGCAGAGTAGTGTGTCATTGGCAAAAACAACTGAGGAAGATGTGGCGGATCTCTGCAAATCACAGCTTCATTTGTGAATGTTTGGTAAGATTAAAGAGAAAGGCAATGATTTACAATTATAGCAAAAATGTTGAAGTTATAAAACGTTTATATCCATGTCTATCTGCTTCAGAGGCTGAGAAATTACATTTTTTGTAAACGTCTGCAATTCTGTCAGCTCTTCAGAAAACCCTCTGATTTAAGGAGGCTGTTTTCAACCTATAGGTTTTGAAGTGTGTTTTTATTTGATGCCTTAAATCTTAATGGGTGAACTAACTTGATCTTGTATTGATGCTTCCAATAATCGAATTTGCACAAAAGTGTCACTATTAGTTGTTCTGTGACATAAAACGTGAGCGTTGTCTTCACCTGTGAAGGCGTCTATGGTCGCTGCAGTGCTCTGCTGTCGGCCTCTTCTCGCGGCGACAGTGATGGTGTACTCCGTCCCAGGCTCAAGGTCTGTCAGGGTAGTGGTGGTCACATCTTTAGGCACCGTCATCTGGAACGAGACGGGGCAGTCAAACAAACATTTAACTTTAAGACAACTTCACAACACAAGGTCACAGCCTCGTCGGCTCCTTTGAGGACGAGTACGTGATGCTGTGAGTGTGCAGTAGACCCCTGCGAGGCAGCTGATATGTGCTGTGTTTTATATCCTACTATCCATTTAATGTTCATCCCTTCTTTACCTCTGTGGTGACGCCAGAGGAGGAAGTGAAGGTGACTTTGTAGTGGTCGATGGGACCCTGGACCACACCCCACACCAGAGTGATGGTGTTGTCTGTAGACGCCGTCACAGTCAAGTCCAAGGGCACGTCCAGACCTACAGGTGGAGGTGGTATGAAATGTTTGTTAAGCAATATATCAGCATTAAATCAGATGACTGCACTAGCACATTAACTGTAGGAATGGAGAAGGAGTTTTTACACTCCAACAGGGCACTTTTGTGATGACAGTTTACACAGCCTAACACGTCAAATGTCATGTGAGGATTAAATATGTAGGACATTTTAACATTTACGATGATAATGATGATATGATAATTAAATAATGCACAGAAATAGAAAGAGTAGCATGTTGAAGAAGAAAAGATTAAATAAAGGTAGTTGAACTGGATTATTTTAACAAATCTTCATGTTGCAGTACTGCTCTACACAAAACATAATTTTTTAGCCTTCCTCCACAAAAATATACAGCGACAGAAATATCAGAATGTACCATCGGTTCAAATCTACAACAAGTCAGTCTTTTCATGTCATTTCTATGGCGTCATTGGTCACTTTGAATACTTTCATTGGCTGTTTGGTTTAATCACTGACATGCTTCTCTTTTAAGAAGAAGACAAGTCTGTGGAGGGGAAACTCGTAGAAGAGATAACTGGAAGAAAGAGAAAAGAACCATTTTCATGGCCCCATCATGTCGGAGCAAGTCAATCTTACACTAACATCTTTCAGAGCTCCAGGGATGTTAGTATGTTTTAACTCTGAAAAAGTGACTCTGTAGCCATCAAAGTATTTGATGTCAGAAAATCTCAAACATCAGCTTGCACAAGTTTACGATAGAGTGACCAATCAAAGGAGGGGAGCACCAGGCACTGCTCCCGCCTGCACAGTCTCTAAATTCAACTTGACGATCAAGCAATTGCCGGGCACTGTTGAGCAGTTGTGAGCATGTAGGGAAGGGCGAGTTCTCACTTTCAGTCTCGCAGCACTAGTTGTGCACGCAGAGTATGGTTTTGCATTCGCACATACTGTTCTGTGCACACAAATCATATGTTGATATATATGTTGATGGTAACATTCATTTATTCACATGATTTTGCTGTAATACATCTTCTAATAACATTGTTAAAAGGAACATAACTATTACATTCATGCATCTACTATCAAATGTAATTTGTGGCTTCTGTTGTAATCTTATCTATTATATGTAAAATCATAACTTGATCTGACCTTCTCTATTTCCCTCTTTTTGTATTTGTTGTGTTGTGTTTGTCAATTTCCTTCCTGCAGCTGTTTGCCCACTGAATCACCATTTGTTTAATTCTCATCTAATCTTTAGCTGCAATGTTTGCCAGAAATTCCAGCTGTATCAAATTAAGTTTCAAGGAAAAGAGAGACTTCAAGTAAAGTTATTGTTAATGCATGTAATACCTTCAGCTTTCAACAACTGACGCTTATTGTAACATCAGCACAACTGTGCGCCGGGCCGACAGGTGTTATGGTTTTATTTAAAGCTATTTGAGAAAAGTGTGATAGATCTAGTGCATTGCAAAAGTTCATATAAAGTGCAGAGAATGGTGACGTTGAGAGAGTTTGCTCGTCAGGCAAATGGAGGTGTAATTTTGCAAAGTGCAAAATACCTTCATGCCATTAAAATAACTGCAACCGGAGGAAAGATGTGCTTTGCAGTCAATGTGATGGGTGAGAGCAGTGAAGCACCTCCTTACGCTAACATTTTTAACAGAGGGGCAAAATGGGTCTTTTTTTTCTTACAGCCGAACAACTCAAAACACAATAAAAATTCAAATTGAAGATCAAGCACTGAGGTAAAGAGGGGGCCATTAGCAAGATAGTATGCATTATTTCTGCTTTAAAATGCTGTAATGGGAACTTTGACCAGAGCCGGACACATAAACCAGTCAGACACCGCCCTAAAATAGTACAAGCCTGGCCAAAGTTTAGCTTAATTCCACTAAAACGGCTTTTAATGGCTGGAACAGGAGCGTTGACCCACAACACAAGCTGTGAATTACACGCAGTGACAAATGGGCCTGAAAACTAGCCTGCTGTGATGCTGAGCCTTCCAGTACAACACTGCTGTGTTTCACTTACTGTGGCTTACATGCATGAGTGGATTTTTACAGTGTAGCATAAACAGCATTTCACTCACTGGTCCTGGCATTCATTGTTGCCGGTGTACTCTGGTTGCTGCTTTTCATGGCGGATATGCCGATGCCGTATTCGGTGCCTGGCAGCAGGTCTGAGGCACAAAGAGAGAAGCAGTAACTCATTAAGTGCACATTAAAGCAAGAAGCAACATCACACTGCCTCGTTTCACGCTCTCCTCCTCTCACAAGCTGCATGTCAATTCGTTTTTTTTTTCATAACAGCCCAATTAGCTCTACATCGGAGATGATTTCTTGGCAAATTTAGATGTACATCAGTATGATTTGTGGGTTTTTTTGCCCACTGCATAATTGATCAGTTTCAAATCAGGAATGGAGATGAAGACATGAGCGATGAGAAATAAGCAAGAGTGACAAAGATTATTAGAGGAGAAAGTCAGTGAGAGCCACATAGAAGGAATGAGGGGAGAGAGAACATTGATTGCAGTGGCTGAAAAGAATGACACGAGGACCTTTAGCTTCTATTCTCATGCCGGCCATGCCCTTTCCAGCACCGTGGCCTTTCAGGAAAAACATCCGGGCTGACCCTTCCTCGCTGACAGCCTTTCAATACACCCACAGGGCAACAAGAATTTCTAAAGATACAATCTGTAGCACCAGACATGTGTTAGTCTTAGAGATAATCCTGCTATGTAAAGCTGGTGCCTCGCAGCCTTTAACAACACATTACAACACATATTATTAATTCATGTGATAATATGACTCATGGAAAAGTGAAGGCAAAACAAAGTAACTGAAAGAAAGACCAACTCACCTGTGAGAGTGGTCTTAGAGGTGGCTCCCTCATTTCGTGGCACAATCACTTTATCATATTGTTCTCCTGCTAATGTGCTGTACACCACCTGGTAGCCCTCCACCTACATTCAAACATGTGCATATAAACAGTTACAGAAAAACACAGTTTAAAGTGAAACTTCAAGTATTAGAAAAATCAAAAAAACACACACAGGCATCATTAACACACGTCTCTTCAAGTTAGCTTGCTAAAGCTAAGGCTACATACACACCTGGTTTTCTCATGTAGTTTTTGTGATCCGATCTCAAGTGGACCGCTCTAACTCACGTCCTCTGACCCACTGCAGTTTGAACTGAATCTATTTCTTCTCTTATCTGTGCCCATACGACTTGTTTGTGACCATCACCAAAATATCAACACCGACCGCGACATCATGACTTATGTGTTTCTTAAATTGGTGAATTCTTTCTTCACTGCAGCTGCATCAGATTCATTCAGCGCCTCCTGAGTCTCTCTCTCTCTCTCTCTCTCTCTCATGCTGACACACAAAGATTGACTTGGTCAAAACCACATTGTTGACATATATGCGTTAATTTGCATGTAGAGCGGGGGAAGTGAGATCCGATCAAATGTAGCCAAAGGAGACACATTCAGGAAGCATTTTAGTGCCAGGTGTGAACCCACGTACTTAGCGCTGGCCACTTAGGATCAGATAGATGTAAATACCAGGTGTGTATCCGGGCTGTTTAGGACTCTAGTAGCAGCATACACTCTCTTTCATCAGAAATGTAATATAGAAGAAGAAGAGGCAGAGGCTTTATGCTTCCTGGTGGCCAAGAAAATATTCGTCCCGAGAACTTTGAACTGCTGGCACAAGTGGCCGGTGCAGCTGGGGCTAAACCCTATCTTAGGAGCCTGGTGGTCCCCCCAGCCAGTGATTTAAATGGTCTGTGTTTTTATGTGAGAAAGAGACAACCAAGGGGCCACAGAGGATGGGGGCATTGTTTGGTTTAGGGATTAAGTTGATTAGAGAGCATTTACATTTATATATATAAAAATGTCTTTACATAGAGACTTCCCAAACAGTTAGCATACGTACGCATTGGTCCTATAGAGACAGTTTCAAACACTAGGTGGTGTTATTAGCCATGTTTAACCCATAGTAATGATTGTGATTTATTATGCATCAGTGTGTTTCATCAAAGAACGGTCATGTAATTTAGTTAACAGTTAAAACACTTTTTAAATATGCAGTATCTCTTTAACAGCTTTCTTTATCCTGCTTTGCTGATGGCTGAGAGAATTAATGGTTAACTCTAACTATTGGCCCAGGATGATATTTGGCTCTCTGTCAACACTTTGCAGAATCATGAGGCTGAATAAATTTGCAGTGCTAAAAGGCATCAAGGCGGACTGGCTTCATAAGTCTGGGTGTGTGGTTAGTGAGCCCTGCAAATATCACTGTAACTACTGAGTGAAACATCATGATTTACTACATTTAAATTCAGAGTGAAACATTCAGTGATCACTTGCACTTGGGGTCTTTTTATCTTTTTCATTATTGACATTGACTCCGCAGATGGATGGAGACCCATCTGTTTGTGACAACAGAACAAAAACAAGACTTAAAACCTGTCTCAGGGCTGAAGTGTTGAGGAAAGGTTGATAGAGGGTGGATAGGTCAGGGGACCGACGATTAATTATCAAAGTAATTTTACAAAAATGACAAAATTGGCACATGCTTGGTGATATGAGAAACAAACAAGGTTTTTCAGTATTTTCCACAACATGTAAAACCAAAATCTCTAAGGAGAGTCCTTCTTTGAGAGGATTAGCATGAGTAGCTTCCAGTGGTGGAAGAGGACTTTAGCTACCTACTATATATAGGATCATATACAGTAGTCAAGTTTTAATCTATTCAATTTAATAAAGCATTGTGTTATATCCTAATTTGCACAGTAACTAAAGCTACAAAAATACATTACAGTAAAACAACTAAACATTTTTCTGTGAGGTGTAGTTGAGTGGTGAAATATAAACTCAACCTAAATTAATCAAGTACAATTTTGACCTGATACCTAATACAAAATGTTTTGTAAACAGGGATTCCAATTAGGATACAAACCGACGTCCAAATGAAGTAAATAAAGAGAATGAATATTCAGCTCATGTCTAATTACCTCTGCTTCACTGTTATCCCATTCGAGCTCGAGGGCGGTGGAGCTCTTGGACACGAGCCGCAGGTTCTTGGGGGCATCAATTTCTGAGAAGAACGATAAAGCTGACAATGTTGGGGACACTGAGACCAATTCTCAGGGATTGTGAACAAGAAAACTTCAGCAGTTTAAACAGATTCAGATACAGTTGGTGTCAACCTGTCCTTTACTTGACTGAATCTGTATCTGAGATGATTAAAACTACAACAGACTATCATCACGCGCTACAAATGTCCATTTGTAATATTATATATCCCGTAAACAATTTTCACTAGATCTTACTTCATTTAGATAATGTTGAAGAGGACAAATTAGTGCATTTAAATCGTAGACGCAGTTGAAAACAATGTCATTTTGATTAAGTTGTTTGCACTCAAAACAAATGAGGATGATGTTTTCACAAATACTTTCTTATGCACAAACTTCATGGGAGTAAAAACAATCCCATTGAACAGATGGTACCTACCATATCACATACTGTAAGGTTTGCATTGGGCCATATGTCATTTAGCATTCTTTTTCTCACACAAACACACACACACACACACACACAAAGCTATCACCACATCTGCTCGCTGTCAGACCTCACCCGTAGTGAACTCAGTGGAAATGGATCCGCTCTCGTTTCCTTTCCTCAGACCTCTGACAGACACTTCGTAACGAGAGCCAGGGCGCAGAACCTGAGGCGGCAAAAAAAACAGAGGAGGTTTAGTCCACCTAATCTTTTTCATGGATTTTCCCCTTTGTTTTTGTTTTATCTCTAGACACAGAAGGCAAGGGGACTGTGAGATTAGATAATTTAATAAACATGACAAATGTGCAAACACACGTGCGCACGCGTACACACACACACACACACACACACGTGTCGTGAATACAAATTAATAACCTCAAAGTCAACTCACAACCCACAGAAAAACATTTAATTTGTGAGCACAGGTGAGTCCATGTACGTATGATCAGATCTCTGTAACCTCAAGACATGAAAACATGCGCAAAAACACACACACACACACACACA